TATAAAAGTAATGGTACTGATACTTAATTACTTCACCAAAAAAAGTACTGGTACTGCAGTACCGAGCTAAAATCTAGTACTGGTACTGGTAATGGTACTGCATAATTTGCCAAGTTCTGGTACTGATACTTAAGTACTACACCCTTAGTACTGATGCAGCTCTGCTTATTATATAATTTGTTTATTTGATTAAACTTCATTATTCGTTGATTTGATAAATGTTTTCTTGCAAATTCATTTCCATTAATATGTTTTGTTGTTATGAAGTGCATGTATACAACAGCTTTATTTCTGTGGCAATTTATTATTCGTGATTTATGCCGTTCCTACAAATTTTACATTTCAGAGAACAATCCACATCTCTTAACTCCTTAATGTAATGCATTATTGAAATTAGTAAGACTGGTTTGACGAACATGATTAAGCAAATTTAATTAACCAAAGTTAGACTTAGCCGAACTTTGAAAAATATTGCAATGTGATTTGACAAAAATTATGTTGATCATTAAAGAGGGTTAATAATAGGTTCATAATACGCATTAAAAAATTGGTCGCGTTCCTGCAAAATGTCTGATCAATTTATTTTGTTCGTATCATTAAACACTAACCTATACATAATTTGTAATGAACAAAAAAACCCGTTCCAAACCATGGAATTGAAATGCAAGGCACATCAAATGCTCATTCTTTGGGCTGTATGGGGGGTTGCTGACTATACAAATGTCAAAATTTATGACCTATCAGATTTCAAATGACCTGAATTCAGGACAATCGCTGTTTGTAAAGTCACGTTTTAAAACAAACCATGTTTATGTAAGCATCGTGTTTAAACTTGATATTCTTTTCAAATAAGTTTGATCATTTTGGCTTTCGTAGATTCAATATATCTAAATCACAACAGCATTGTCTACCATATGTTTCATGTTCCACTGATTAAAGTCGTGAAATAATGCTTTGTTCCATGCTTCTCATCGGATTCCAACGGGAACCATGTGGACTTTAATGTATGGTTGTTTAACGAATAAGTCATTTTTGTAAGTACTCCTGAACCCATTAAAAGCTAGATTACACAAGTGCAATAGAACTTTGACGTGCTGTAAATCATTCTTACTTTATATAAGTATTTGTACCGTGAGCCTGAAATGTAATTTGACACAAAACTGTATTTAAGTGTAGGCTCTGAAGAAATGGTTTAACAAATCATTAAAATAATAATTATATATAAACTGATGGTTTGGAGGAAGTATTTGTTGAACAATGAAATGTGCTGTTTAGTTTCTCTCAACTATCGTTTCAAATAATTTCGATTCTGACCAGAAACTGTCGAGTGTACAATTTTACTAAGTAGTGATAGAGTTAGTTAAAATAACACATATTTCGCAATCCATTGACGAGTATAATATTGTTTTATTCAACGAGCTCAATAAACTAAGTATTGAATCGACACGAATATAATAGTGTTTTCTTCACTTTCTTTCGTTTAAAGAAGAAAAAAACAAAAAACATAAATGAAATACCAGACGCACGACTAAGAAAAAAGCACAAAAAGAGCGCAGTTGAGAAATATAACGACGGTTTTCTGACTATTCAATCTCCTCTCTAATGAACCTGAAATTATGTGTCCGATAAAAAAAATTAACTCGATTTTAACCGTTTTGCAATTGTAACCCAATGAAAGCGATTTTTCGGAGAAGAACTATACAAGATTTTATATCTTTCGTTCTAATCCATTTCATCATTGTATATATTGAATGATTGTATATTATGTACTGTGTATGATTATGAATAAAATATGTTTCAACTAACGCGATTTTTCGTGCATGCACGGACCAATAGATTGGTGTATATTTTATGAAACCTTTCAGTGTAATTTCATGGACTTTCATGTCAATAAAAAAAACAGGTTGATTGTTTTCCAGTTTTCAATTTTCTTTATTTTTGACATGTCTAGAATGTCGCAAAATTAACACACACGTGACTTTTGCATGCTTAATGCCAGTATGATTATGAATACCGTTGCTATGAAAATTGCATGTTTTACTCTTGCTCTTCGACCACTTACGCAACGTTTTCAAGCAATAGGACGTACAAAAAGTAAACCACGGTGTGGATGTCCGCGAGTCACAGTTTCTCTAAAGAAATATGACCTTGGGTCATGAAACTTTACAGGAATGTTGATCAGCATGCGAAGTTGTGCGAAGGGTTATTGCCAATGACTTAGTAAAAATTGGCAAATTTTCAACTTATGTCGTATGTAGCTCAAAAAGCATTTGACCTTAAGTCATGAAACTTTACAGAAATGTTGGTTGGCATGTGAGGTCGTGCACCTGGGGTTTGATTGTGGATTTATTCAATATTGGAAGAGTAACTCCCATTGACTTAGTTAAAACTGGTCCGTAATGTTGTGTTATTGTTCTTTGAGTGCTTGAGTAATAATCCACCAACTTAACAGGAATGATGATCATCATCACCGTGAAGCCGTGAACCTGGGATTTTGCATGTGTTTTTTTTTCAAATTTGTTAGAGTTATTGCTCTTGACTTAGCATAACTTTGCAATTTTCAACCTGTTCATGCATAGCGCAAACAATATTAAGCCTGTAGGCCTGAAAGTGTACAAAAATATTGTTCAGCCCTCGGAATTGCTTGTGGAGTTATATCAGTACTTGTAAAGTTCTTGCCCTTGACTTAGTAAAATATTTTTAGTTTCTAACTTGTGTCACGTGTAGCCCAAATATATTTGACCTAGAGTAATAAGTTTGACAAAAATGTGGACTGTGGGGGGCACCCGTATCCTATGGACACATTTCTAGTTCAATATGAAAATGCAACAAGTCAAACAGCTACTGGCTGGCCTGCCAAAAGTCTTGATATTAAATCCATTGAACACCTTGGGATAATTTGGACCATCGTATAAGACGTCGCTCTATTCAATTGCCAAACGTCATTTAGCTAAGACTAGCCTTAGATAAAGAATGAATGAAACACCATTTCACATGCCGAAATCAATACGCTGATCCGTTCTATGTGGCAACGATCAAGACAGTCTTTCATACAGAAGGTGGTCATACCCGATGGGCAACCCCTTTTGCATTTTAAGTTCCATTTTTCTCCTTTTTGATAAACAGTCAGCATTTTTTTCCACAAAAAATCGCAACAAAATACTTTTTATACGCCCGTAGGAGGAGGTCGGGCAGACGGTCTGGCGGGCTTTGTCCAATTCGACCGGAGCATTATCTCCTACACGCATGAAGAAATTTAATGAAACTTCATAGAAATGTTTACTACTGTGAGAAGCTGTGTCGTGTACATGAACCAATTGTTTAGGTCAAAGTTTAAAATCACACTAAGAGGCCATTGAATACGGTTGTCCGGAGCAAAACTTCTACATGAATGAAGGGATTTCAATATAAATTGGCACCATTGTCGCTTGCAAAATTTTGATCCCTGCGGCCAATGTTAATGTCAAACATAGGGGTCAAAGTAAAGATGAAATATGAAAATGTGTATTGGGACCAATTAGTCATCATTTATAAAGGGATTGAAACACAAATGGTCATTATCATGACTACTGGTGTGAATCATGTTAATTCGGTTAATAGATGCGGATCAAGGTCACTAAAAATGATGTCACTCAAGATGATAGAATATAGGGATTTGTCCATAGCATATTTCTCACACATATTGAAGGATTCTAATGAAACTTCATACAAATGTTCACTACTATATGAAGCAGGGTGATGTGCATTACTTAGTTTTCAATATTACTTAGCAAAAATGTTTACCTTTTTAAAGCGGAATGTCGCATACAAATTTAGGTACCTGCGGTCAAGGTCACACATAAAGGTCAGAGTTAAGATACAAATATGAAAATATGTATCAGGACCATTAAGTCATAATTTATTAATGGATTGAAACACAAATGGTCACTAAAGATGATAAAATATAGAAATTTTCTTCAGAGCATAGCCCCTCCATGCATGGTGGGATGGATTTGAATGAAACTTCATACAAATATTCACCTCTATAAGAAGCAGTGCAACGTGTATGAACCAGGTCTCTAGGATAAAGGTTTAGGTCAAGTTTATAGGTCACTGAAAATGAAAATGCTTGTTCGGAGCCAAACTTCTATATTCATCGGGGGATTTAATGTAACTTGACACAAATGTTCAGCATTGTTAGGCTTATTGCGCACATTATCAAAGTTACTGCTACCAAAGTCAAGGTCACATAGAAAGGCCAAAGTTTGTGAACGGGGACCATTTAGTCACTATTTATTGATGGATTGTAATACAAAAGATAACTGTCATGACCACAAGTTTGCCACATGTAATTTATGTATATATTTTCAAGGTTTAAGGTCACTAGATATGATAAAACATCAAGATATTTCCGGATATTACCTAGAGCATATCTCCTATATTCATATCTATAATACTCCATCTCTGTAAAAAGCTTTTGTGACGGGCGTATTTGCGCGACAATGTTGCCATTGATAAAGATGAAACATAAATAATATGCGAAATTTGGATATGTTGTATACACATATCATAATTTCCCTGCTTAACACATTATTACCAAGACAAATTCGTTCACAATCGGATAATTGAATGGTTAATTACCTTTGAATAAGTTACTGGGGTTCTAACCGATAGGAGACTTTTGAATTGCTTGCAATACTATATGTATGATGTGCTTAAGTTTATTCCCATGCTTTTTATGGTACAAAATTGGCCAATTACATTAAGTTTCCATTTGCAACTTTGCAATTTGCAAAAAATTTCGGTACAACTAGTTCTGTCGTCTGCGATCATCAGACATGGTACATCTGGTATTGAATTATCAATAAATACTCAAGAACAACATTTTTCTCGAAGTTAAGCAGAAGACTGACCAAAAGATAAAGAAAATATCGAGGAACTACTGACGACATATTGCCTGATACCAATATTTCAGCGGAATTTACTTGTAACTGTTTTGGACGATGTTTTAACAAGCCTGTAGACATTTATATAATATATGATTAATTTCATTTCTTCTTGTGTATCTTTGCAGAGCGTGCTATTTATGGTAATTTGTAGAATGTTCTGAGATATCAAATACCAATGGCAGACGAGGAAATCTCGATTGTTGGTGTCGGTTGTAGATTTCCTGGCGCTGACAATCTTCGAGAATACTGGAGAGTTTTGAAAAACGGAGAAAATCATGTTAAAGAAGTCCCGCGAGACAGGTGGAATCATGATGCATTTTACGATTCTGACATTGACGCACCTGGAAAAACGTTTGTGCGCACTGCAGGATTCCTTGAAAGGTAACTTAATGAAAAACATATCATTAACAAAACTTGTTGAATATTGAACATCGATTGGGATATATGCTAGGGGGCGTGAGAAATTTTTCAACTTTATATCGATCATGCCAATTTTTGTTGCTTTAATTCACCTGCCAGGAATGGTCAGGGCGTAAAATGTAACTTTTATTCATGTTTGTTCGAAAAGGTATACAAATCGTGTCCTGTTTATAGCTTTTGCATGGATAATGGTCTTCAAAATAAATGGGTTAGACCCAATAAATACTGTCACGGCACAGGATTGATCTGAACTTAGTGTTTTTATCTTATACTTTTTATATCCCGACAAACGAAGTTGATGTCACTTTTACTAAAAATAGAAAAATGATTTCTGACAATAACAAGAGTGAGGATAAAGATATTGTAATCAAACTTAGTATGTAGCGAGCTTATATGGAGAACCTGGTTGGGATTTGCGTTTGAATCCCCTGGGGTCAAGGGTCACAATTCATAAAAAAGAAAAATAGTTCTAGGTAAATGGTTCAATAGAGAAAATATGAATCCTTTAAAAAAAAGTCCAAAATGGAGTATGGTCTCCAAATAATAGAAAGCATGTGCCCTAAACGAAAAATCAATGGGCAGAACTAAACAAAATGAAATTTAGAAAGGGGATCAGAAGTTATTAAGCCTGCACGTCAAAAGTTAGAAAGCAAACATATTCTAAGGGTGATTCAACATTATAAGTCCCCTACCGGTTAACCGATGGGGACTTTAGGTTTACCCTCCGTCCGTCTGTCAGTCCGTCCGTCTGTCCGCACTCACAGGACAGTAATTATGTGGCTAGATGGACAATAAGTAACTGTTCTTTCTCTTTGATGTCATTCATTCTGTAATGCTTTTATGTGGCTATTTTCTTTTGTGTGGCTAAAAAGAACAATGGAGAACAATAGAGTAGCCTCATAATTACTGTCCTTTGAGAACATCCGTCTGTTAGTCCGTCAGTCCGTCCGTCCACAAAACTGGATCCTGCGATAACGCAAAAAGTACTGAAAATATTTTAACGAAACTTGATATATGGATAGATGGCAGCATGGAGATTATGCACGTCTTTTTATTTTCTTCCTATGTTGAAACTCCTGGTTGCTATGGCAACAAATAGACTTAAAATATGATAATTTTACACATAAAGTGGATCCAGTGATAAGGTAGAAAGTACTGGAAATATTTTACATGAAACTTGTAATATGGGTAGATGGCAGTCTGGAAATTATGCACATCGTTTTCTTTTCTTTCTATTTTCAAATTTCATATATATGTTTCGTATTATCACTCAAATCATTTGTGAGAAGGTTCAATACTCTAGCAAGACTATTTCCAGAATTATGTCCCCCTTGAACTTAGATTTTTCTTGAGAAATTGGTATATTTTACTCCAACTTCTTCATTACTTATAGGATTTACTTCAAACACCCACACCATAATAACATGACATGGTTTATAAATCTTGCATCCTTGTTTCCAGAATAATCTTCTTCTTAAACTTTGAATTTTCTTATTCATTCTTTTAACTTTCTTTTACTTCAAATGTAAAATAAACATTCATTATGAACAGATTCATTACTAATTGTTCTCTGTTACAATCATATCATGTAGGACATCTTGGATCTTTGTTTCAAGAGTTATCTTCTCTTTAAGTAAGAGTTTTGCTTCTAAAAATGTTATATTTTGGTAACAAGGATGTTAAAAATAATAACTTTAGAGTGTCCTTCAGTCTGTCTGTTAATAAAAAACTGTTTCCTGTGATCACTTTTAAAGAACTTTTCCAACAACTTTTCTTAAAAAAAGAGAAACATTGAAACATTCAGAAATGGCAAAAGGCCCTTCAGAATGTTGCTGGTTTTTTTTTACCGGTAGGGGACTTATGGATTGCTTGCAATTCTATGATAATTGCTTGTTAAAATGGGAATATTGCAAATCGAAAAAGCCAAATACTTGAAACGAAAAAAATACCACAAACACAACAATAATGACGTTTTGAACGATCTTTAAGGATCGAAAATATAACATCTCACATTGAATGTACAGCAAACAATGCTGATGTGGCGATAAAATAGACAATTAGAATCCTAAGGAAGTCCATAACGGCAAAATTGAAAATGTTGCAGGCTCGTTTTGATTGAGCCTGTTCATGGAGAGTACTGTCAAGTGCAAACTACCATCCACGCCCCTAGCACCGCCTAAGGAGAATTCAACATTTAAAAATGAAATGACAAAATTTTGAATTTAGAAAGCAGATGTGTTCACACGACAGATATCACGGAACCTTCAATGTGTCACTTCATTCTTAACACAACATAAGGTGACTAAACTGAGTGATAGTCATCAATACAGTAAGAGTAAACTTGTCAAGTTCGAATTCCTGTTGTATGCATGGTTGGATTTATCATCATTCGTATACATAGATAAGATATACTAAATGTCCCATCCTAGATCCTTGTTACTATGTAAAGCATGGTTAAACTTAACATATTTGCTCTCTATTTAAGCGCACTTTTGCAAGACCAAGAGCCTTTGGCTAAAGGTCAATGTTACTTTACTGCAAAGGACTTATCATTAAACCATAACTTCTACATTAATGATAGAATTTCACCGTTCCATGGCACAATTGACTACCATCAATAGACGACGTGTCATGTTCTCATCCTGCTATGTGAACTGTAATTTCACTAAATGTTTTCCTATTAAATTATTAATTTTTAATTTTATTTTTTTATTGTCACTCTATCAAAGACCCACTGAACAGTTGTAAAGATTTTTTCAGGATGTGGTCAAAGCATTTAAATGATATGAGTATTGACTGTTTTTGATTCAGCCAAATCATCATAACAATATTCATAGGACATAATGCAACACCCAAGAAAATATAGATTTAAATGCATTGTTTTTAAAAGTAGGTCGTTTCAGGGAAAGACATGTTTTGCTTTTATTTTCAGTATTGAGGAATGGGACCATCGTTTTCATGGAATAAATGAAGTGGAGGCAGAACTTGTAGACCCACAACAAAGAATTGTTTTAGATTGTGTACATATGGCATTAGAGGATGGCGGTTTGACAAAAAAAGATATTGATGGAACAAATACTGGTGTATACATTGGTAATTCATTTTGATATTCGTATGATGCAGCAAAAAAATGAAAATCAAATTGATAAACTTGTTTTTCCAAAACTATTGCGGTGATTTACTACTCAAAAGAATGACATGAATCCAAGATGAAATCTGTATGAATTTTGGATTTCAACAGAAAAAATTCACATTTCAAAAATTAAGACTATATAAATGCATGTATGTCAACCCTTTAACTGCTTTCACCTTATTTAAACTTCATTTATTTAAGATATGTACTTCACGAATTCACAAATTAACTTTTTTCAATTAATAGAAATCCCTGCACTGCTCTTGACCAATTTAATTTAGTAAATGTTTTCAAATGAACACTAACATTTACTGAAATTTCTGTGATGGTTTAAATATGACTATTGCCGTGATATAGCAATTTTCTTTTACTTTTTATGGTCTGAAAAAAAAATGTTTCCGATATTTTGGTTAGAGTACCATTTATCGGACTGAGACGTTTTATCTTTGTTCATTTATTTTAAAGGCATATCATTTTTATTAAGCCGAAGGCGGGGCCAAAATAGTGTATACAATGTTGTATCAACGGATTTATACCTTTTAGATGCTTAAGAAAATACGTTTCACTTGAAATGATCTGTAATAGAAGAAGCAAAATGTAAATGAGGTGGCTATATTTGGCTGCAAACAAAATTTTGAATCACTATAAGAGAATTACTTGCAAAAATCATAAGGATGGAACAATGGAACCGAATGTTCAGGGTGAACTATAAGCATCAAATGTGGATGCTCCGGCGTCCGTCGTCATGAATCAAAATCCATCTTCTCCTCTGAAACTGCTGGGCAGATTGGCTTCAAGTTAGTCTGTAGCATCTTTGTGACTTTCAAACAACAATTTTCTCATATCATTTCAGTTGACCCCTTTAAGGGGTCAACAGAGCTAAAAATAAAGAAATCTTTAAACACCTTCTACTGAACTAAATGCTGAATGTTCACCAAACTTTGTCTGTAGAATTCTTAATTAGTCTTTATCAAAATTTCTCATATTAGCTACCCTCCAAAGAAGCGCTCGCCAGTGTCGGGTCCGCATGTTGTCCAACAAAATTTCGCCTGAACAGTGTGAAACAATTTGAAGTCATTGTGATTAGTGTTAACATTTTAAGTATTGGGTAAATTTAAGTTATGGTATGGCAACAAGAGTTTAGCTATAGAAACAAGGGGATATTGTAGAGCCCTACAAATTAATGTAAAATAGGTTGGAATTGCCGCTTTTCGGGAAGTCATAAGTCAGAATTTGTAACGTAAAGCTACGCTCAGTTAAATAATAAAAATAAATTACACTAAATGTAAGCGGGCTATTTTATCCAGATAGTAATTGTTATTCACTTTAGGGTTTTGATAAGCTGTTTCATTTATGACAAATATTTATACATATTTTAAGAATGTCAGTGATAAACATTTCTGCTATTTCTGTCACGGTTTACTGGTGCGCCATTTTGTTCTCGCGCGTATTCTTTACTGTGGAAAGCCGTTTATGCCGTTATAATAATTAGAAAGTTAACAATTAGGAAAGCATTGTGAATTATTAAAGTTTTAAGGCAACAATTATTAAGAATTGTTTACACAAGTTTTAAGTGATATTTTTGATGCAAAGCAACTAGTTATATTAATAATAAGTATATTTGGTAATATATAATAATTAAAGAGTGAATTTCTCTTGTTTGAATTGCAAGATTACATTATCAATTGAGTTTCTCTTGTGTGAATTGCATGATTTCATAATCAATCTTTTCTGATGCAAAGCAACTAGTTATATTAATGATAAGTACATTTGGTAATATATAATAATTAAAGAGTGAATTTCTCTTGTGTGAATTGCAAGATTACATCATTAATTGAGTATCTCTTACTTGAATGGCATGATTACATTATCAATATGTGAAGAACAGTAACGATGAAATTGGGTTATTTGTGAAAGGTTCCATTATTATGGAGAAGAAAAAAAAAACAATCGATTTTGGAAAACTGTTGGGCAAGTTGAGGAAGTTCATTTAAAAAATTAGAAAAAAATATTTTAAACAGTGAAAAACAGTTGTTTCTTGTGATCGATTCTTGTTTTGTTCCCTCATAGTATTCACCTTCAACAGATATTCAAAGTTTCAGTCTCTGGATCCAATCTTTGAAGGCATTCTCATAGTCCCTATTAGGTCTACTATGAAGACACTGGAATATTGCAGATCCTTGGTGTATTTGTTTTGGCTCATAAAATGAAGCCATATTCGTCACCATGATGACATTTGCAAAATACCGTACATTGTTAATTGTATTTTGTTTAAGCAACAACTTAGCACATTGCACTTGAGTCCTTTTCTGCTCATATGTTAGTAAATGGGAAATTCATCTAGCACATATTATTCTCATTTTTAAAAGAATGGTATTAGCTACTCCTTATAAGTTGCCAACGATACAAGCTATTTGTCAAGTTTTGAACATGCCTCGTATAAAACTGTATGTCACTTAAGCAACCATATTGCTATTTTAAACCAAGGCCAATGGGGTGCAGCATCAATAGAAATTATTCCACGTTTAAATTGGTAAACAAACGAATTTCTGTTGAAATTTTGTCCATATTCAGAAAAAAAATCATCTGAAATGTTTAACACATTTTGTCAAGGCGACAGCGATTTTTAATATAAGACGTATTTCAGAGGCATGCTCCGAGCTTCTACCAACCATTTTTGTGAATGTGGTTTCAATGTAAAGCTTACGTGAATATCTTCCGGATAACTCCATCTCATTGTATATAACATTTATATTTGATACACTCTTGGTATGGCCAATAAGTAACATTAATGAAAACTTTTAAAATGCTCAAAAATATAAAGCTTTTGAAGAATAAAAATGTTAGCGTCAATTATTGTATACATATATTTTGCTTCAGTGTAGAATTATATAGAAATAATTATGAAATTTATATAGAATGAAACAGAAGTGAAATTTATCGACATGCTTAACTGAAAATAAATGTATTTTTTATACTCCGAATTGTATTTATTAGGTTTAAGTGAGTGTTATGGATATTGTCCAGAGCTAACTTTAAACTCTATATACATAATTTTATTCATTTATTCCAAAGGGTCTATGACTGACGATTATATAAACTTTGTGTTGGATGACAATTCTGTAAGCAGCACTTACTCAGTGACAGGTACACACAACAGCGTCATTAGTGCCAGAGTGTCTTACGCATATAATCTATTAGGCCCTGCCATGACTTTAGACACTGCTTGTTCTTCGTCATTGGTCACAGTCGACGTAGCTTCACAGGCTTTAATTACTGGTATATGATATACTGAATATTTCTTTTTTTAAACAAAGTTGCAGAATATTGAATTAAAAAACAATTTTCTTCGTTTATGCTTATTTTAATACAAATACATGAAAATGAATAAAATAATGCCATTAGATATGCCAAACATATGTCTAATGTTGTTCTTTTAAAAAATTTCTAGACATCAATTCTTGTCGACATTATTATATTTTACAACATGTCATATATTTGATATTTGTTATTTTCTCATCTTTTTCTTCTTTCAAAATTGATAAAATTATTTTGAATGCCCAACGATATTTACTTAAAATTCTCTTCCGATATATTTACAGGACGTTGCAGTATGTGTATTTGCGGTGGAGTAAACATAATCATGGACCCTCAATTATTTATTGCTCTGTCCAAAGCAAGAATGCTTTCACCAAGTGGTCAATGCAAGACATTTACAAAGGATGCTGATGGCTATGCTCGTGGAGAGGGGTGTGGTATAGTGATACTTAAAAAATTGACTGATGTAAGCTTATGAAATTATGAAGCTCATAACGATGGATTAAATTTTAAGTAAATGTTTAGTTTAGAGAGTATGTATAATTTTTCAAGGTTAATTAACATGTCTTATTGTTCACCACCGTGTGAGACTTATAATAGTTTTTTATGATTGAGTTTTCTGCGACTGTTTAGAGGCACTACGTTTTTGTCAAGGCTTGCATTAGTTTTCTAACATGCATTTTTGAGAATAAAAACATAATCATTCTGTACAAATCAAGAAAAAAACTCTCTAAAACGTCTTTAGACAAGATTTGACATATTCATTTAAACACATTTTTCATTAATTTTATAATAATATAGGCTGTCAAGGATGGCAATAAAATTTGGGGCACAATAAAATGTGGAACGAATCAAGACGGACATATGGTGACACCGATCACAGCGCCATCTGAAGTTCAACAAATAAAGTTGATAAATGACCTCTACGAAAGACATAATGTTGAGAAGCAAAAAATCCAAGTCATAGAAGCACATGGTATGCTGTATTTAAGTCAGTTATTTAATGTTTTCTCCCAAGATGCAAGCATGTTTAAAATAGTGATTTTTGGTCAAGCATGCTGTTGTTAAGACTGTATTTACGAGCTGCAGTCGGCAGTAGGAAGACAAGTATGTATAGATAACCTTACATTAATCAAAGTGAAATAGAACTCACGATAGTCATATATATCTGAAACTTAAATACATCAATGAATAAACAAATGATTCATATGAAACCTTCGAAATTTAATCTTTTACTTTAATGGTCAATATTTCATATGGGTAAGGGTCATTGGAAGCATGTCAAATGAATAGCAATTGTCCAAATGTACAGCATTTCCATATTGCGTAATCAGTTATCAAGCTAAGACGTTTAAAAATGTTGACCTTTTTGGTCAAAGTTAAATTCAGTTTAATCAAGATCGATTTGTCAGCATATGTGATGGTAAATAATATTCAGATGATTAGTCCAAATGTGAAGGGTATTGCTGTAGCTTAATATATCAACTTAATATATCAATGAAACTAAATAGATTTTTCAAAAAGTTTAACCTTTTGTCATTTTACTCAAGGTGTCATGCGTTGGTTGTAGTCCCCTAGATAAATAAGTCGTGGGCTTTTAAGTAATTCCCCATTCCCATCCCTGAGGAGAATTTTTAACACTATATTTTTTTACATTTTTAAATATGATCTTGGGAGCATTTCCCTGTTGCTGCCGTCTGGCTATAGGAGTTTGGAGTAAAGCATGCTCCCCGAAAAGGTTTCTTAAGTATTGCAGAAATGTATTAACTGCGCAACTTTGTTCTGTGAAGTGCTATTCATATAAAACTTACCACCTGATCTTGGAGATAGAGACATGGGTCTTGGACCTGACACATCATCTTGATGTGGTACGCATTCATGCCAAGTTATTTTAAAATCTTTCAATACATCAAAGTACAGTCCGTGCATAAATGTGTACCTTTAAACTTTTCTAGTGAGATTAAGTACCTTAAAACTCTATAAGAGTGAAATTGACATTGAAGGTAGGGCTATAGGTCTTGGACACAACACATCATCTTGATTTTGTAGACATATATACTATGTTATTCAAAAATCCTTCCAAGCATGACAAAAGTTATAGTGCAAACACAAATGTTTGTACTTGTGAGAAGGTGAAATTTTCACATTGTAAGTGTGACCTTGACCTTCGCCATATGAGCATGGGTTTAAGCCATGACAAAAAACCACGATGTGTTTTACATTAGTGCTATTTAAGTTATTTTAAAGTCCTACCTTGAATAAGAAAGCTTCAATCCTGACACGAATGACCTGGATATTTTAGGTAGTGACTTGGGCTTATAACACGACATTTTGTATTGATGTGGTAGAGATTTGTGTCAAGTTTTTTTAGAATGAATCCTTCTGACTCTAATGTGTATCTTCAAACTATTCTTGTGGGAATGAGTACCTTCAAACTATAAGTGTGAACTTGACTTTGGAGGTAGGGACATGGGCCATAGACTCGACACATTGTCTGGATGGGTTGTATATATATATATGCTAGGTTGTTTAAAATTCTTCTATGCATGACACAGTTACAGTCCAAACAGAAATGTGTATACCTTTAAACTGCATTAGTGACAATGTTAATTTTTACACTGTTAGTGTTTTTTTGACGTCTTGTTTGATTGCCATGAAAACACATGTGATTAGATATTGTGATAAAGGCTATTAAAATTCTGGTGAAATTTTGGATAAATTCAAAATTAATTATCAACCTTCAACTGTCAGTACATATGATTTCTTACACTTTAAATTACATTGCAACATAAATCAATTAATGATAAACTAATTTCCCTTATTCAGAAAACTTTTGCACGTGAAAAAATTACTTTTCTTTAGTTGTTATATTAAAAAAGCCTTTTTAGTTACTGTATTGTAAAACATTATACTATGTCGACCTGTGACAAAGATTACAGAACACTTTCCTTCTTTAAGACAACATTTATGTCAGGTTTGGTAATACCCTATTTAATCAGATCATAGGAATTCATATGGGTACTAATTTTGCACCCCTTATGGCCGATTTGTTTGTACTGCTATGAAAGAGACTTTATGTTGAGTCTCTCTGAAGATACACACCATGATGATATAATAGCATCTAATTATACTTCCAGATACCTTGGTGATATTTTTAATTTTTTAATTTAGATAATTCTTATTTTGATCAAATGGTGTCTAATATTTATCCCCATAAACTACAACTTGATAAAACGAACTCTTGAAATTAAATTATGGTACATCATTTTTGGATCTTCATATTACTGTCAGCAACTTTTATTGTTCACAATAACAGAATGTCATGGCTCTGTCAGTTCATATGTTATATACGCCCGAAGATCTTCAGGACGTTTTACGGTATAGCGTTGGCCGTCCATCCGTCTGTCCATAGACAATTGGTTTACCGCAGTATGACTTTAAAAGAATTTTATATATTGTATTTATATTTGGTATGTAAGTATATTATATAAAATATAGGTAAATTGAGATTGTTTCTGAAATAAACTCATTATTAATGGAGTTATACCCCCTAAATGTATTGTTTATGCAAAATTAACGTTTTCCATAGAATAACTTTTGAATAATTTCAGTGATTGTCTTTAGATTTGGAAACTTAAGATTTTCAATGCAATCAGTTTATAATTAATAGAGTTAAGCCTCATTTAAAGCTTTCAGGTGAAATTATTTGTTTCCTCAGGATAATGTTGTAAGGTATGTTTACCGATTTCATTGATTCTGTTTATAGTTGGCATACAAGTATGCTACATCAAAATGCATGAAATAATTGATTTTCTCGACTCCAATCATGATTGAAAGAGTTATACTCAGTTTCCAGGAAATTTTCATTTAATTTTGATGGAAAAGTAAGCTAATAAATTTGCTGTCTATCTTTAAGGCACATTTTCCGCCATAATTCTTGCCAACCCATACTGCATGAGCATTTTGTGAAAATTGGTTTTCATTAAAAATCCCCCTGTTACAATTTCAAATTGATATGAAACTATAAAAAAGGCTTCAATACTTCTAAACTTGGCATAAATGTTGAATGGACCATAGCCTTTATAGCGGCTTACTCAATCTTAAATTTCCTGTTACTATGGCAACGAGGGACATCTCAAAATTACCAAAAAGCTCTATTTTGCGTTGATTTTTCCATTAAAACTGACTTCAAACTGTTGCAACTTGTCAATGGATTGAGATAGAGCCCAAAGCTTTTCAGCGTTGGTTACACGTTACCTTAAGGTCAACCTGGTGCCATTTTTAGCCTCTCACAAGTCCAAAATTGTCTTGGGGAAAAGGCGTAAAAAGTCTATATGAAGTAATAGGTTAATTAGCCTCGAGGTGTATATTGCCATACCTAAGCGGAAATCTTGTAATATTAATTTATTTTTAGGTACTGGTACCATTATTGGAGACCCAATAGAGGTAGAAGCACTTGGAAAAAATTTTGGGAAAAATCGTGATGGCTAAAAAGGAAGTATTCATTGGTTCTGTAAAGACAAACATAGGACATCTTGAGGCAGCTGCAGGTGTTGCCGGACTTATAAAAGTACTTTTGATGATGAATCATCGTACGATTGTTCCGTCATTATGGTACAATAGAGAAAACGAAAATCCTTCGATAGAGTTATCGCAGCATGGATTTGTCGTTCCTACAGAGTGCAAGCAGTGGGAACGGACAGGTAATGAAAATCGTGTTGCTTGTGTTAACAGTTTTGGTTTCGGTGGCACAAATGCTCATTGTATTGTTGAAGAATATATTCCAGAAAGTAAGCAGACATATGATAATGAGTCATGTTTACCTTTCATTATAACAATATCCTCATATTGCAATGAAGGTCTTATTAAAAATGTGCGTCATATGAATGATGCATTGAAATCACAGGAGTACGACATTCGAGCAGTTTCATACACATCAACGTGTAGGCGTGATCATAGATCGTGCAGAAAAGCAGTCTTTGGAAACAGAAAAGAAATCATTGCTGCATTTGATGAATTTCTGAGATTAGATGTAAAGCGCTTAAAACCTTCACCCGCAAGCAATGTTGTGTTTGTTTTCTGTGGCGTTGGGACAGCATGGCAAGGGATGTGCAGATCACTGATGAATTTAGAAATATTTAGGCAGACGATTCAGCGCATCGATGAGTATCTCAAGAAATTAACAGGCTGGGTGATTTCGTCTAAACTCAATGATAGGAGTGATATCTTGACTAATCCGTTGGTCACACATATTGCTATATTTGCTTGTCAGATTGGACTTGCTGCATTATGGAAACACCTAGGGATAAATCCTGATGTCGTTGTTGGGCAATCTGTCGGAGAGGTTGCTGCTGCATACGTTGCTGGGTATTTGGATCTTCAGTCTGCAGTTGGAATTATATATAACAGATCAAACTGTCTCGCCAAAGTTACGACTGGTACGATGGCAGTAGTGCATAACGTTGAGGTTTCTGTGGTAGAAAATTACTGTCGAAAAAGCGGATCAGTTTGTATTGCAGTTTACAACAGTAAAACATCATGCACAGTGTCTGGATTGCCTGAAGATATCGTCAATTTAAAGCAGAACCTTCAAACTATTGGTGATAATGAACCTGTGATTGTAGACTTAGACGTAAAATGTGCATATCACAGTACCTTTGTCGATAAGGCAGCAAATGAGCTTGATAATACTTTAGACACTATTACGAGCGACAAGGAACGTGCACGAATGTTCTCTACTGTGACAGGCAAACTAGAGACTTACAATTCGTTAGGGACATCTAACTATTGGAGAAAAAATGTCAGAATGCCAGTTCAATTTTCACATGCCATTGAAGAGGTGGTATCTGAAAATAAGCAAAACATATTCATCGAACTCGGACCAAGTCCAGTATTGCGAGCACATATAGACAAGATATTAAGCGAAGAAGTTAATTATACATCGGTTCCGTCGATGCGAAAGAAGGATGAGATAAACACATTTACAGAAGCACTGTGTACACTGTTTGAGCTTGGGCTAAATCCTAAATGGTCAAATCTATTTCAATACAGAATCCTTAATACTGATATACCTATGTATCAGTTCCGGAAATATACGGCACTGCACCAAAGTTCACATAGAATCAAGAAAAACCAAGGAATGAAAATCGCTGTCGACCACTTGTATGTTAAGCACATGCCAATGCTACGAGGTGAGTTTCATTTTAAAGTCGAATTTAATGCGAAAGATACTCCTTTTGCGTTTTCAACACTTTGTAAATAACCTACCCATCCTTCCAGGGGCAGCCTATGCAGATGTTGGCTTTGAAATTGGACACAGTGTTTTGGACCTTTCAAAGCGCAATATTGCATTGTCTTTAGAATTTATGAGACCTGTTAAAATACAACGTGACGTTGAAACCGTATTGTTCATTTCAACTATTGCTCAAGGGAATAAGCTGCTCTTTCACGCAAAACAACACAATGTTACAATGTGTAAAGGCTGGATAAAATCAACAAACGAACATATGGAATCTCACGAAATGTTTGATATTGAATGTATCAGAGTTTCGATGTCAGACTTTGAATGTAAGCACATGGCTGCAGATAAGATGTATTCACATTTAAAGACTCTGGGTTTCACGTATGGCCCTCACTTAACACTGATTAAAACCTGTCTTACAAATGGTCTCGAAACTTTAGCAGAAATAGATATTCCAGACGACATAGTTAGTCAGTATGACTCCACAACTCTTCATCCGTGTGTTCTAGATGGAATGATGCAGTCAACTATTATCACAACTTCAGAAGAGACTCTTGCCAAAATAAGAAATGAAAAGATCAGTATAATGCCAGTTGCTGTAGGTAAACTACGTATATGTGAAAAGCCAAAAAAGGAAATGTACATATTTACAAAGAGAATCAACGAAACCTTTCTCGAGACTGTATTACAGATACATTACAATATTCTGTTACTAAGTAAGAATGGAGAAGTTTTAGCAGACCTCCAGAATTATACAATATATGGAAAGAGAAATGAATCAATCGCACCCAGTGAATTAAACTACCGCTTGAACTGGCATCCAATTCAAAAGAAATTCAAGCCTCAACCACAAAAGCATACCCATGTTCTGATGCTCACAAGCGAGTTTTCAAAACAGGTTTCTCAAGAGTTTACAGAATTTGAAAATATATACATTTGCCAAAATGTTAACAACTCGCCAAACAAGACTTTTATTTCTGATGCATTTAAAAACAACAAAAAGATGCACGCTGTCGTTATACTAATCAAGAATCTTGATTTTGACACCGATATAGATGCATCGCTGGCTTCAGAAATACACGAGAGTGTGAGGAACAACTGCGTGTTTCTCACTGCTCTTGTTAGATACATGACAGATGAAAATGTCTCTCTGCCGCTCTATGTTATTACGCAAAATACACAACCAACGTTTAAAGATGGATCGGCAATAAGTGCTGTTGGTGGGGAATTGTGGGGATTCATTCGCTCTATCCATCTCGAGTTCATATACGGTGACATTACATTAATTGATATTCAGCCTTCCCTTAAACAGACAAAACGTACCTTAGTCTCTTTTATTCTCGATACTTGTCACAATACAAAGGATACAATACCAGAAATCATCATACACAATGATATCATATATGGTGCACAATTTACAAAGATTCCAAAGAAAAAGATAATTCCAAGGTTCAGGTTCGATAATAGAGTTCTGAGACATGGCGATCCTCCTCACGAATTGTTAGCAGATCGATCCAAAAGAATACGGTCCTTGTTTTTGAAACAGTCTATGAAAAACGAAGAAATCTCTAAGGACGAGTATATGTCTGTACATATAAAAAGTGTATGTTTACACCCGCTCTCGATTTACCCGAGGACAACAAGTGGGGTATTGCTTGATCAAGATACATGGAAAGACGATGATGGTCATAAAGTTATTGGCATTGAGTACACGTGTATACCAACATCATCATACAGCACTCATGAATACCATACAGTGGAACATAATTTTACTGACAGTAAATGTGAACTTCTTACTGTATTTCCATCTGAAATTCAGACCAAAATGTCAGTACCAAGAGATTGTACTGTCTCGTTGACAGACATCCCCTTCTATCAACCTGGTATTATTGCGATCACAATATTGTGTTGGAACCTTACCAGACATGTTCCTAAGGGATCAAGTGTTCTTGTATACAGCCATAAAAATTGCTCACTATCTAAACTTATTTTGGAAAAATTAGTGTGTAGTCTGAGGAAAGCCTCCCTTGTAAATTTGTCAAACTATCAAGAAAGTACTAAAATCAGTATTGACGTTTTGGTAACAATTGATGCAGTTGATTCAAGTTTTCCGGTTCTCATGAGATGTAAGAAGATAATATGTCTCGAAGAGTGTATTTCGGAACCTTTGCGTCTAAAAGTTTCGAGATCTGTAGATCAGACAATAGCGACATTATCCGCAAAAGATTTGCTAGAAAGGACATGTGTTAGTTATTACCTGTCTCTAGTCGTCTCATGGCTGCAAAGGAATAAGGAGAGTCTCGGAATTATGGAACGCCATTTTCCACAGGATGAATGCGACTTGCCATTTCCGTCTTACGACATAATTAAAAATGGCAAAGTCGTTTTGCCAATTGGAAGCGCCCTTGAACAGTTGTTCAGTAAAAATGCAATATATATTGTAACTGGGGGACTAACGGGTCTTGGATGGGAAGTCGTTGGCTTACTAGCTGAAATGGGAGCTGGAACCATTGTATCTATTTCAAGGCAAGATCGCTCGAGTAATAAAAGAGATGACATTAATCTAATCGAAAAAGCAACAGGTTGTAAGATTATCAGTGTTAAAGGTGACGTTTCTGATTTAACGTCGATTTCTAGAGCCATTAGAAACATTGAATTGTTTGTCGGAAAAAAACCAATTCGTGGTATATTCCATGGAGCTGGGGTTTTGAACAGCAAACTATTGATGGACATGGAAAAGCCTGATATTGATTTCGTACTCAGACCAAAAGTGATAGGAACAATGAATATGCACCAAGTTACAAAGGGTATGGATTTAGACTATTTTGTTGTATCTTCTTCGATAAACAGTCTGATCGGGTCACCTGGTCAGAGTAGCTATGGTGCCGCTAACTCATTCCTCGATACATTTATGGAATGGAGGCGAGGACAAGGACTTCCAGGACAGGCCATCAATTGGGGCCCATTATGTGTCGGAATGGTGTCTTCCCCTGAATTAGTTAAAAGCTTCCAAAATCATGGATTCAATCCTCTATCAGTCCTTGAAATCAGAAGCTGTTTTCAAGATGCTTTGATGCGGAACGCTACTGGCATTATATATGCAGATGTAAATTGGGATATGTTTTCTAAGGTTTATAATAGCCCAAACTTAAAGAGGACGAGATTGCAAATGTCTGTTTTGATTGAACAAGCAATATCAGATAATACTCAAGTTGACCATGATGAATCGAAAGACGTGTCTATCGACATAAAATTGTTGCAAAATTTAGATTCAAGGAGGCAAAACATAGCCATTGCTCAAGTCATTAAAAAGATTTCAAGTAAAGTAACCGGAGAAGACCTAAGTCAAATCAGTATGACAACAACATTTGTAGAAATGTCATTTGACTCGATATCAATCATAAGTTTTATTAACATTGTACAGAATGTAACTGGATATCGAATTCCAACAGCATTTATGCTAAACACTAACAATAATCTGAATGATGTTGTACAGTTGCTACGGAATGAACTTTTCGAAGAAGGCATCATTTACTCCAGAACTTAAGTAAAATAAATCTGGAAAAATGTGAGTCCACGTGAGTCGAAATTGAAACGACCTGTGTTAAAGTTTTGAGACATCTATACTTCGGCTTGGGCTTGTGAATTGTGTAACGGGGGGTCTGTCAAACATTAAATTACAGCTTCAAATGAAGTTAGTATCAGATGAAATAACAAACTACGAAATAATATTGTATGAATATTTTTGGCAAGTGTGAGATACATGATCTCATTTGACATTTATTTATATTGCAGATAATAAACTGCTCTAGAATAGATTATTATTAAATTTATTATTCAATGCTAAATCAATTAATAAAAATTGTATCTACTTTTTTCCTGAGTAATAATCTTTAAGAATATCCAAATGATATACTTTTGAAAATCTGGAAACAAAGTGATCCATCGGAAGCATTAATCACAACAAAATTACATGACAATTGCAGATTCGGTTTGATTGAGTCTGTACATTTATATCGTTCTTATCAAAATTTGGAAATTTGAAAATTTGAAAATTATGCCCATTGAAGACAAATCCACTTATGGACCGAATTCATTCGTCAAATAGAAATACCTTAAGATGACAACATAGATCTTAATGGAAAGTAAATTTTGAGTGATTACATACATGAACCAAAAACAATTATCCATATTTGATGTCAGACCCTACTCGACAAGTGTCGACAAAATGGTTTCTTTTTGCATGAAACGAAAATCTGTTCAAACGTGTTAAAACATAGAGAAACCCTGTGTCCTTCATCATGCGTCGTAGTCGGTTTGAGAGTTGAAAGTTTCGGATAAATGTTATAATTTGTTTAGAAATAACAAAAAATAGTGAGTGCTTTACAAAGGATTGATTGGTTTTTAATAGATGTAATAGTAAAATAAATAATATACTAAAATCTGACTGTTAAAGCTGTCGGATAAAAGTGAATGAAAGTATCTGATGTTTAATCTATGGTTTTAAAACTGTAAAAACATTGGGAAGTTATTTGTGTGAAAATATAAGGTCATACACAAAGGATGATATGTAAGCGTATGTGTGGAACTGTTATGAACTCATTTACCTAATGCATAGTGCTTAGATTTGACTAACGTGTTATAGGCAGAAAAGTATGCACATTTTACGCATCAACAATAAAGTTTGTGTTTAGTACATATTTGGATTATATTTGATCACTCTGTAATTAGAATAATATTTGTTTTGTTTTTTCACCATTTGTACATTATGATGTGCTTGTTTTGTTTATATATTGTCATTATTTCTTATAGGACTGGGCACTATGTTCAAGTTCAAAATAAAGTTTCTGTTCCTTAAATATAGATTTAAAGTTTTGGTACTTAGTTTTCACATAATGACATTGTTTATCTTAATGTATGTTAAACATAGATTAATCAGGATAGTATGATTGTCCTTCACAGTTTAATTTTTGATTGTTTTCACTATTTTGGCACACTAAGACATCATTATGATGTTTTTCTAGATGAATTGATTAGAAAAATGCTTAAATTACATTACTGTTGTCAAAGATCATGTAATCATGTAAGTCACATAGATATATAACATTTTCCTCATCTTTATGTATGTTCTGTTTATAAATGGAAAGGCACATTACCCACCTACTTTTCATAATTTTATCTTTTGTGATTGAAGTTTAACTATGGTATCGTCGGGTGCCCTTAATTCGTCCCTGTCCTAGAGTCAACACCCTTGCTGTGTATGTTAGAAAGTCTTAACAAATGTCTGTTAATGTATATTTTTATACATCAAAGTAAGTTTAAATGTATCTGCAAAATTTCTTTATCATAGAACGATTGGATCATAATGTATTATTGTGTATCAAACTGGCACTGTAAAATGCTTAGGGTAATGAATCATGGTCACCCGAGGGATATATGTTTTTTATGAATAATGTTGTATTTTAGAATTCGACATTTTATTTATCGTTATGAAATTAAAATGTTGTCAATAACATGAAGCATGTAGAGAGAATGAATGCGAATGTCATTTTATGTTGATGTTGTATTGTTCTCAATGGACATATTATGGCAATCTAAAATAATGAAATACTTAAGAATAAATTTGTGGGTTTTGAAAGTTTGTGAACTTTTGCAATAACGTGAAGATCTTCACTCAGCATCTCAGAAATTCACGACTATGACATTTTGTACTTCTTGTATTCACATTGCTTTCATCCCCATATTGTCTAGCTTGCATTTATTAATTGTGAACAAGCTATTATGAAAAAAATCTTATGATGTAATCTTTTGTAAATTTATGATAATTATTACTGTTCATGTATTAACCTTTGTGTAATTGTATTATATATCCGGAATGTAAATTCAGTTCGTTCTAGTAATCGGACGTTCCGTCCTGTCCTGTTCTATAATTACTGGCAACGTTATCGCCACCATGATTATAATCATAATAATACCAAATTACAAAATAATTATAGAACAAAACAGAACTATTATTTGTTTAGCTTTACCATTTACAGTTCATCGTTACATGTATACATATATGTCTGTCTCATTTCTTTAATCAATGACAATGCTAGCGTAAATGGAGTATAACATACATAAAAATTATCATCTTACATTTATGTGTAGATATATAAGAATTATGAAACTTTGTTGTAGATTAATAATAAAATGCACTAAAATAAAACAGTAATGACTAAATTAAGATAGATTGAAATGTGCTTTGATATATACTGTTTTTCGGTTTATTCTATTGATACAAATAAGATATCAATTGTTTAAAAAAACTGTTTGATAGAGTGAAATACACCGGTTGAAAACTGTCTTATTTTAGATTTTTATCAAATGTGAAAAACAGCGCTATAATATGAAATTATTTTTATAATTTACCAAAATAAAACTTAAGATTTCTATTAAATTAATTCGAATATCAGCATATTCTTTTAAAATGTTTTGTCACGATGGGTTTCTATGTCCATGTTTCTAATGAATAAAGAAAAGAACAATTATATAAAGAAAATGTATTGCTTTACCTGGCAAAATATATAAATGGAGTCAATACGTAACAGAAACTCTAGTATTGATTTATTTTTAGTTTTGTTCTGTTCAAAATAATATTTCTTTTGACAATATATAAAGCATGTTTTGTTTTTTTACTATCTGTTATGTATGTATAATTACATACAAAGTTGTATATTGGCAACAACATTATAATACTTGTATTGTTTTGAAGTGACAAATAGTGGCTTATAAATGTACTCTGCCGTGTTATATTCTAGTTATAGTATTGAAAATGTATTGAATTTATCATTGTACAAGTTTGACATTGTGTATGATTATTTTAAAAGGTAAAGTAAATTATACTGTAATGTTATGTTCTTGTATAATTTTAGATTTTTTTTATCAAATGTGGGTAACAACGCTATAGTGTGTGAAATTATTCATATAATTTACCAAACAAAACTTAAGTGTTTTACAAGAATGCGGATATCAGGACATTCTTTTAAAATGCTTTGTCACAATAGGTTTCTGTGTACAATGTCATGTTTCTTAGAAATAAACAAAAAGAGACATATATGTATTGAAGAACAATTCTCTAAAAAGAATGTACTGCCTTATCTAGCAAAATATATAAATGGAGTCAGTTTGTAACAGAAACTCTATTGCTGATTTATTTTTAGTTTTCGTCTGTTGAAAAATAATACATATAATTCTTTAAAAAATATATATGACATAGATTTTATTCCAACTATCTGTTATGTATGTATAATTACATACAAAGTTGTATGTCCGCAACAACATTATAATACTTGTACGTATTGTTTTGTAGTGACAGGTTGTGGCTTATAAATTTACTAAGCATGTTATATTTTAGTTAAAGTATTGAAAATGTATTGAATTTATCATTGTACAAGTTTGACATTGTGTATGATTATTTTAAAAGATTTTGTTCTGTTCCTGTCTAGTTTTAGATTTTGTTTTATCAAAATGTGGATAACAATGCTGTCATATAAAATTATTCATATAATTTACCAAACAAAACTTTAGATTTTATTACAAGAATTACAAGTATTGGCACATTCTTTCAAAAGGTTTTGTCACAATAGATTTCTATGTACCTGTTGATAAAGAAAAAAAATGATTTTCAAGAACAATTCTATAAAAAGAATGCATTGCTTTACCTAGCAAAATATATAAAATGGAGTCATTACGTAACAGAAACTGTATTGTTGATATATTTTTAGTTTTCTTCTGTTCAAAATAATACATATATTTCTTTAAACAATATATGAGATTTTATTTTGACTTTATGTTATGTATGTATAATTACATACAAAGTTGTATATTCGCAACAACATTATAATACTTTTATTGTTTTATTTTTTTGAAGTGACAGATGATGGCTTATATATTACTATACCATGTTACATTCTAGTTAATGTATTGAAAATGTGTGGAATTGATCATTGTACAAGTTTATCATTGTGTATAATTATTTCAAAAGTTAAAGTAAATTATACTCTGTTTTGTTATGCAACTTAAAATTGCCGCTGTTGACTCAAAAAAGAGCACGGTGACCTAAATTTAATTGGTTAAGTATGTGTTTCTTACTATATAACTAAGACCATGCAAAGTTTGTATGAGTTATCATTATACAGTTTTCGTATAGCCTATATTTTATATAGAAACTAAAGCCTATACATCTTTAACAATTATCACAAACTGATTTCCTCTTACTTTTCGCTATGTTTTGCTGGAACAATAAAATACAATAAAATACAAATGTGTTCGTTATATATATTATTTATTCAAATATCTCTTAAACCGCTAAACTTTCCATCTATTCCATGACAAAGGAAAATGCTTGATTTCTAATAGCAATTCAAAAACTAAAATTTGTTTATTTCACTTTTTAAGGTTCAGTCTTTGTATTGCTTCTCAGTAACATGGAAAAGTCAAATGTAAGATATTTTTAAAGTTGGGATTGTGCCATCCACTTTATACCAAATGTATTTACGAGTAACTTTGCACGAGACTACTAGTATATGCTCTCAAATCTATCATCTGACATATCATCTGACATAATGCATATAATATAATTGTATGATAGTTTGGGGACCTTTCTGTTGAAAAAGTGTCAAGAGGTAAAACGAATGCACATACACGCACTGTGCGTAATAAGTTACCCGCACTCCATTGCATTCTCATTGATTGGCTCATTTTTTCCGGGGTTCTCATATTCAGATGCTCGTTCAATGGTTACTTTTTTCTGGGGCTTCATATTGTGACAACAGGGAATGTGTTTTTATTTTTGCCTATGATAGAAAAGAGAAAGAACATCACAACACTCGGAAATCTGATTTATACTCAAGGGTTACGCGTTGTGGTTCAATGCTCTGTCTATTACTTATTCACATATAATATCGTTTTTACGATGCCTTTCTTTGAGCCCATCATACATAGAATGATTAGGAAACGATTTGGAAAAGAGTTTCATTTTCCAGTGTAAAGGTTTCCATGAAGAGAGTAATTGCGGTATGAAAATTTCTCGTCAATATTCATGCACCTGTTTTGTTCAATCATTAAGTTACTCGATAATCGTTAATTTGCTAGTAAACGTTCATGAATGAGACAATCAGGAGTCTGTGTTTAATGCAATTTTTATGTAGTCTGTTTTACATAACCTTGGAAAATGAATTTATGTCTCCACAGTTTCTGAAACAGTCGCATCCTAATCTGCGAAATTGAATTGAGTTGGTCCATAATGAAAGGTGTGTGATACCATACATAATAAAGGCACGCGTGGCATGACTGCCTCTTGGGGTTGGAGATTTAATTTTGCTCTTTCTGTATATAAAGTCATCGATTTTTGGTAAAAAACACAGCCGTCATCAAACCATTAGTCTGATTCCTTCGCATATTTGCCATAGCATCAGTTTGGAAGTTCGTTTTTTTGAGGCTTGTTTTTTTACGACAATATAAAGCACAAAGCTCTAGCCCAAGACCGATGGCCGCTAGAGGGTCGGATGACATGGCCAGATGTTTTGATTGGCGTTTTGTTCTTTTTGTGTATAAAGTCTTTGAATTTCCGTAACTAAACACCAATATCTAGAGTCCGTCGTTTTTAAACCATTTGTCGGATTTCGTTGCTGCATTGACAATACTTTGGAGGTTCGTTTTTCAACAATATAAGACACATAGCTCTAACACAATTACAATGGCGGCTGGAGGTCCGCATGACATGGCAATGTTTAGATCGGCGATTTTTTCTTTTTGTTTAAGTTAACGCATTTTTGTAAAGAGTACCATTTTCTAAAGCCTACCGTCATAAAACGATTTGTCTGATTAGCGATAACAATAGCTGTGGGGTTCGTCTTAATGATAGTATAAGACATAAAGCTTTAGCCCGTGGGCATTGTCCGCTAGAGGCCCGCATTTCATGGTCGAAGTTTGGAACGGCGATTCGTGTCTTCATGTTTCATTTGAAAACGTTTTTGAATGTGTAATATTGTGAAGGTATCAAAAGGAAGCAATTTACACAATATCAGTGGCACTTCAAAACCACGTAAATTACCAAAAAGAGGTCAAAATATGCAGAAATTGCCTTTACTGCGTTAGTAACGCAGTAGAAATATAGTTATAAATACTGAAAAATCAGTCATTAATCGCACTAAGTATGTAAAATATTACTTGAATCTTGAAACTTTTTTACTTTTCCTTACATCTTAGTACATTTTTTCTCAAGTTTGATTTTATTGAAATATTTTGACTCACCTGGAGGCATGTAGCTTTAAATTCATTTCATTCTCGCTCTCATCTTAAAATTGTTTATGTGTGGTTGTTAAAAAGTCTATAAAGAAGCAGGTGTATTTCGTCAAAATTGGGATATATCACCTTAAATTTGCACATAAAACGACTTAACTGTTGGCACTTGTATATGGTAGGGTATATACATTATATGAAATTAATATACGCGATATGTATGTCCAGGTACGCGAATCATGTACCTGATTGTTTTCTCATTTTTTTTCTCTCAATGCATTACACAAACTGTGTTGTTCATTTTCATTAACTTATTAGATTCACGTACATATGTGTAATATTTAGTGCGGTATTATTTTTTTGCATTGTATCTTTATGGCACGGATGAAAAGAAGTCGCGTTCATTCTCCATACTTCGCTTGAAGACGGTTAGCGCCATCTTGCGGTTTATTCTGCCATGTTTTTCCTCTTCATTGATCAACGTCTCAAGATCAATGTACCCGGTGTAAGTTGGGTCCAGATTCTCTTCGACCCATTGTGTGTACACTCCGAAATCGTTCTGCAATAAAAGTGATGGCGTTAAATAATGTCTAGGGGTTTTGTCAACAGAACTGGTATCATGTGAATCACTTAAATACTTTGTAAATGGTATCAATTTTGGAATAGTTTATAATAACTTAGTGTTGAAAGCTATAGGTTTATTGAAAGACACTCGAATCCGTTTCTGGAACCAACTAGTACTAAGCAATGAGTGTAAAGTTTCTTTCTCGTGGAATCTAGCTTGCCAGAAATCCCACACGGCCTGCAAACTTTAATTAGATTACTAGTCCGGCGTGATAACCATTCGGCCACGTTGCCACTCATTTCCGGTTAATACATTTAATAAGATATGGTAGCTATGTCGCATTAAGCATAGAGATTGATTTAAAAAAGTATTACAGTTATTACCATAAAATTAAAATTTACAAGATTTTAAGATGAATACATTGATGATGAATTGGTTACCAGTCGGATGTTTTGATGTAAAATTTGAATTTTGTGTTATTTGTCAGCTTACTTTAATCAAATTATAACCGCTTATTTAAAAAAACACCTTATGAAGGGCTGGCTTAAAACGTGTGTCTGTTTGCTTTAATTAAATTCGTACATTGAATAGATAAGTTGGTCTGGGTCATAGCTTGCTGTCTATTTACCAGTTTTGTTTTAAACTCGTTGCCAAGGGCTAATGGGTAACGACCATGTTTCCCCCCATTTCATACCAGTATTGATAAGAACCTGCTAACATTAGGACGGTGAGTTGATGGCAGTTTTTCTGGGCTAAGAGCTTAAAGACGCATGTAACAATGTAACAATCTACTTGCCTGTTTTGCTGTAAGTTGTTTACCGAGCCACGGCCAGAGTTTGTAGCAAGGTAGCATAGCAGTGACGAAGTAAACTGCATCATAGTTGATGGCCATGTCATATAAATGATCAAGGTAATTTGAACAAGCTTTTCCGAGATGGATGCCACTTGTATACTTGATTGACCAAGCTTCTAACATGTGTTCGCTTAATCTAAGATACACCAGAAAATAAATAAAAAAATTCATATCATTTTATAACACTGATTTAAAGCGAATGGTGGCCCTCGGTGTGGTGTGTTTGCCTCTCAACATGGGGACCACTGGTTTGGGACCATATTTCCGTATACTAAGTAATACATTCAGTATTATTTAATTCCAAAAAAGCAAACTTGATAGTGATTAAAAAAGCTGCACTATTTCTTTTTACAATCGAGTTTAAATCAAATTATGTTTAAACTAATGAACTATTATTTAAATAGTAAAACTTTTAGAGTGAAATCTTATAATAGTTATATGGAAGGTAAGGAAAGATAACTACCCTTTGTAAGATTCAGACATCTTCTGAAGCAGTTGTCTAACTTTACTATCTTTTGATTTTTGTAGAGCTAGTCCAATAAGTCTATACGTATTGTAGATGTACACAGAATCTTGAACTACTGTCCTAGGATGATAACTTGAGCCTTTGTTTACATAACAAAGACCAATAACAATGCGAAAAATAGGTTAGGCAGATCAATGCCACAATCTATAAAAATGAAAATAAAACTACATGTTATCATATGTCTTGTTAGCGCAGCAGGTAGAGCAACCGTGTCAGTAATGAGTTTATCCGTACAGACAGAAGTTCGACTACTGGTACATTTTTTTTACCTCAGAACAGTCAATTGTTTGACCGGTTTTATGCATACATGAATATGAGATCGAATATTTCATTTCACTGTGATCAAAAAATACAAAAAGAAAAAAGAATAGAAATAAAAAATAAATATATACTATAAAATATATATCATAAGAAGAAAACAAAAAGGAAAACGAAAATAAATGAATAATTATAATGATAAAAAAAACAGAGCAAGAAGAAAAACCTGTGGTTATAAAATGGCACTACTTGGGGTTCGAACCTATGAGAACAAAACTCTAAAAGTTACAAATAATTTCGATCTACCGACAGAACCATAACGGTAATACGCAAACGATACTGTAAGAATAATGCTATATAGTATTTGTAAGTGTTTACTTTTACGATATCGGATAATAATCCAGATAACCCCGTTTTTGGACTTTCCCATGTACCGTTAAGACCAAATTATCATCCTAGGACAGTACATATGAACCTTTAAGTATTGAAAATAATCGATTATTTTGATAAAAAAAAATAATCCGTTAAATAAACACACTATACAATTATTGACTAGTGTGACATTGAATATGATGTGATATTCACAGGCAGATGGTAGATAAGTTGACCGAGGCGATTAAAAATTAATGAACGTGAATACATAATAAGCGCATTATTCACAAATTAAAATCGATCTTTAGGTAAACGTTGCTTAAAGAAGCATGCTAACAGATTTATGGTAATGTTCATCAATCTTTTGGAAATGTATTAAAATTTCGTTTATACTTTTCGAATGCTCTCGTCATTTCACAAATATTGTTTCTTAAAATTATTTGGCTCATTTGGAGGCATGTAGCTTTGACAATTTGAAAGGAGAGCCACATTTTGTTCAACATATTAAAATAATTAAATCACTTAAAAACGCAAAAAACACCGAGAAAATAATCTGCAAAGAACGCAACTTCAACCGGAAACCAAATCACAACCATATGAATGACAGTTACATCTAGTTCACTATATGCTATTACAAGTTATTTGAAATATAACGTTTCTAGGTCTAGACATTTGAGTTATTGTGTTTTTAAAACTATTTTTTCAGCCAAATAATTATTGGGAACAAACAGTTTAAGGCTAAACTGAATTTACAGTAAATACATGTACTAGTATAATGACAAGAGTATCCGAAAAGTCTTCATTTTTGCAATAAGAAATGACGGTCAAGCTAGTTGACAGCCTTCATTAAATTTATAGCGTTATTGACGGCGACATGTCTATGTCATTCGTATAGATCAATTTTAGTTTAATACAAAACTTTTGCTTTTGAAATCGTTTGTTAATATCCCCAGATGAAACAGTGAAATAGAATGGGGCAGGGGAATGATGGGGATGTAGGGGCGATATTGTACTTTAACATTCTGCCATTTGCCATCTAAAGTCTCATTTAACTTTTGTTATATCGCTTCAACAAATGAGCCGCGTCATGACAAAACCAACATAATGGGTTTGCGACCAGCATATGGATCCAGACCAGCCTGTGCATCCGCGCAGTCTGATCAGGATCCATGCTGTTCGCAACAAGTAGAGAAACTGATAGCGAACAGCATGGATCCTGATCAGACTGCGCGGATGCGCAGGCTGGTCTGGATCCATGCTGGTCGCAAACCCATTATGTTGGTTTTGTCGTGACGCGGCTCAAATAATTAGTATTGTCTGTTTTCAAATATTAAAAATTTATTACATTGCTATGGAAAGGGAAGGTTAGCAGGTTGAAATAAACTAATTAAAGATTATAGATCCTATATGTAACATAAAGAAAATTACTGTACCAAAACTAGTAGGATTCAATTTGGTTGATGCCATTCCCCTAATTAGGGATGAGTTTAGTGACGCCTCTTGTTCTTCGATCGTTTCTGACCATAAATACTCGGACAAAATGGCCCCTTCATGGTCGTCTGCTTTAACCGCCACTAACAAAATGCAGAGTGGTACGACAACTTGCAGAAGAACGAATCTCATTTTGTTCAATCTAAAAATCAACAAAATGAGAGAAGATTTCGTCTTGAGGGGCCTACGACCTGTTACATACTAAAACGTAACCAGCGTTTTTTGAATTTTTGCATATTTGGCATTCGTTTACCTAAGCAACAAATGCAATCGCATCTTTCCAACTACGGATAAAGAGCTGCATGAAGGCTGAGGTAAGGTTATGATGACAACTCGCCTATCTGATATCTTGCCCAGTTTGATGCAAGCTTCTCTAGCTCTCACACAAAATACAATGGTCTCAAAACCATCAACATATTTGTTTTCAGTTATTTAATATGCACAGAAGTTAAAATTGCACCTAAGAGTTGTTATGTTTCATATAAACATCCCTATTATCACACCCGTTAACATGTACCGAGTAGAACAGCTTAATATGTAGGAAGAACTTAATTACTATATGAATGTTATTTTAAAACGGATTACTAAGATATGTTCTTTTTTTGTCTCTTTTTTATAGACATAATTTGTCTATGAGTCTATGATAAAGTGTGCAGCAATCGATTGCAAGGTAAAGAACTTACCACTGATCTACTTGCAACCGGTTAACGGGTATGTTTATAATCTAAAAGTAAAACGTTGCAACGGTTTACATTTACAACAGTATAAACATTGCAAATTCTGTACTTACATCTTTTTTGTCAGACAAGACATGTATTAATCATATAGTTCCATATAAGTATACGAGCCTGCGGTATAATTTTATCTTTGATGACATTTTATTTTAAAAAATTGCCCAAAGTACAATTGTGGTGTAGAAGACATTTTGTTGAAACAAGGTCCTGTCAGAATCTTGTCAAGTTTTTTTTTAAACTTGCACCGTACCGTGTCGGTGAAAAAGGGTGTTCCTTTGTACCATGAACGAAACTTATCTTAATAAGAAGAAAGTCAATGCCAAAAAATAAACAAATCAAATGTAAATAGAAAATTGAAAGTGAGATTGTTATATAAGCGAGAAAATTTAGATAATCTATACACCGAATAGCAAAAAGCAAAAAATATACCCAAGACATTTGTTGTGTCGGTAAAATAACGAAAGGTAACTTATTATAGTGCATGTACCAGGAAGATTAGAAAATATTGATCATTTGCTTTATGAGCCGATCGTAGCAATAAGAAGTTACTAAATCTAGTTTAACCTGTTTTGCTATTTACAACATAATTATATAGATTAAGGCAAAGGAGAAAAAACTTTCAACCAGGCGACGATGCGAATATTTCGCAATCTGCCTGTGCCTGTATGACTAATAAATGGTGGTTTTTGTTTCCTTCGTGACCCTAGACAATGAAGTGTGACACATCACAACAATGAAATATTTAAGCTGCACACTAAAAATGCATAACGACTGCAGACATAGCGAAATAGGACATGACAACACAAGAGAATTCTGTGGCAATGTCACATCGCTTTTGCCTTTGTCGAACAGGAGAGGCTCTGTAGTCCAGTGGTAACGCGTGGACTAGCAATCCAGGGGTTCAAACACCCGCTCCTATATTAACAATATTAATGATCTTTTGGATGAAATCAGCACTGGTTATGTAAAAGGACCAGGGTAACCAATGTTAAACCAACAAAAATGCAACAGAATTATACATTTTGTATTTATAATCATGTTTTATGCTACATTAAAATTGTTCATATATGTAAAAGCTTATTTTCATAAATATTATCATATATGGCACGCTTCGTGTGAACAGATTTCAGACACGTAGACAAGGTGTGCCGTCGATACAGAAAGACGTCTGCGTATCGTCTGCGTATCATCCAACAATTTAGATCCATTTATCTGCATTTATTAACATAAATAAATAAACAAATAAGTAAATAAATAAACGCACTATTGATGGAACGAGAGCAAGAGGTGAATGTGTTGTAAATTATTATAAACGTATTTGAACTATTCGTTAAGTGAGCTTTGAAAAATAAAATGTACTTAAAAATTCTTACCTATGTTCAAAAGCAACGTCCAGGAGTTTTAACAAGATACCTTTTAAATGCGCAATTTAAATGTGTCCGTATGTGATGACAAAATATAACATTGCTTGCTAATTCTATATTTGAAAGATCAATAGCGCATATCGTCCTTGAAGAAACAGTAGCAAATATTTAGTTACAAAGTGCAAATAGCTTTCGCAATGATCAGAGTAATTCACGTTGAACATGTTATGAATATGCACGATACTTTCTTTTGGTAAAGAAACACTATTAACATTATTGCTATTTCTTAATTCTCAAAAACTTTCAAGTTGATCAGTTGCAGTTTTCCAAACAGTACTCATATCCTTGTTTTTGTTACTTATAGTGACTTATAATGATTTTTAATTAATATTTAATATGAAAGAAAAATGCTACTTTGTTTACGGACAAATATGTTCACATTTAACTCTTATATCTTCGAGATAAGTATCTCACATGCTCTACATGTATTGTAATATTGTAAAACACAGTTTGTCTTGTCTTTTTAAGAAAACTGAGACATAATTATATAGAGGATATTGAATGAGTGTAAGTTCAGTAATTTAATATTCTATTTATCACATACCAAAAATAAAGACCGTTTATCATTTTTCATTGACGCACCTATAGTGTAACGTTAACATTTAGCGCTTCTTTACGTTGTGTGTATAACGCAAATGACGTCACGTTAAAATATATGCACGTCCGTGAAATACCATTTTGAGGAGTCGCAAAATCGGCACGGGTATTTGCTAAATAGAGGTTATTAAATGGGTGTAATACTGAATTTATTTAACGAGTTTAATAAAATTATATTATGCGAGCCTCTTGCGAGCATTATATAATTTTATTCAACTAGTTCAATAAATTCAGTATTGGACTTATACGAATATAATATTCTATTTATCACATACCAAAATAACGACCGTTTAAAGTGAACTATAATCATTTTTTTCATTGACGCACATAATGAGGTCACGTCAAAATGTATGCACGGCAGTGCATTACCATTTTACGGAGTCGCAAAAGCGGCACGAATATGTGATAAATAATTATATACTGGATTATGTCTATTATTTTTTTATATTTTAAATGAAAAAAAAAAACATGCACGTTTTATCATTATCTAACAAAGGACATGTCTAAGTTTGTACACTATAAAGTCCTTAGTGGTAAAGCTCAGAACGTTGAAAAACACCGATTGTCTCCCTTAGCGACAAAACAAAGACAGACAAGTGCGTTTGAATTAGCAACACCTTTACAAACAAGAAGCGGGTATTTAGTCTTGGTTCTCTGAATTATGTACATGTATTTATTTTTCACTAAAATGTAACATTAAAATAAAACAGGGGTTAATGCATAAGCAGTGAGATGTAATTCAGCGGCTTGATATATCCTTATTATTGAAGAGAGGAGAGTTATGGCCCTTTGTTATAGCTTTCTACCAAGTTGTCTGAGGAGAGTTATGGCACTTGACTTTGTTTTAGCTTTTTAGCAAGTTGTCTCAAACCCTGTGTTTGAAAAAAGTTATGGCCCTTTCTTATAGCTTTCTTCTAAGTTTTCAAACCCTGTATCAGAATTTTGTATAGCTTGATACAGCTTAATAGAATGCTAATAAGTAATGTTGCTGATGATATACTCTTCATATTCCTGTTGCTTTCTCACAGTTGCAGTCCTTGATTTTAGTTTTAACAGCTATGATATGACATTTATAAGGTAAAATTCTTTTTCCTTCCATACACTATATAAATTCATTTGCATTGGATGAAATTTGAATAGGATGCATAATATAATACAAGGTTTAAGTTTTAAATTTGTTGAGTTGACATTTCATGGAGTTATGTCCCTTTACTTTTACACCAAGTTTGTATCCAGATTATCAAAACCTTCTTGACAGGGTATTATGGAAAATTTGCTAGCAAGTCGGACTACTATGTGAATGAATAACAGGTGTTAGTCCTTACATACATATATATCAGTCCATAAAATAAAACCAATCTCCAATTTTTCATGTTTATTTAAAGCAAAGACTTTTTGTGTAGTGTAAAAATAAATCATCAAAACAGTATGATTATAAATAGATATAAATAGATAGAAAATATATTTATAACTAATTATTGTGTCATCTATCATATAACAAACTGATACAACAAATTTTGAAACAAAAGATGAACAAATGGAAAAAGTAAAGAATTTAAAGGGACTCATCTGAGGATTTTTGACATGATGGGACTTGGATATTCATCAAAGAAATTTATATTTTTGATCTAGCTCTATACCAATAACTTGTGTGCAAAGTTTCAAAACATTTGCTGATCTCAGAGTAATCAATTTTGTTGTGCAAAATGACCCAAAAAATGAAAAGCATTTAAATGCTTTTAACTCAAAAGGAGCTAAGAATGGCACTATTTACATTGTATTTAATTTTGAGTTTGTTTCTTATTTTAGGCTTATGCACGTCAGTGGAGTCCCTTTAATATCACAGTTTATGATATGTTTTATTTGAATGTGGTATTTGTATATCATATACTTCTGTTATATAAATCTAATACAAAATCTTTTTTTTTTCTTTCTTATTAATCAAGGTAAAGAAAATATATCCTAGCTGCAGGAGTGTTTTGTAGATTCCTATTTCTAGAAATTTAATTTCAGAAAGGAAAGCTGTGTAATCTTTGATGATCAATTTAAATAGCTTTTTATATTTGATACATGTACCAAGTTGCTATGGTTACAATTATTAAATAGTTTTAGTACAGACATTTCATTCCATGAATTGATTATATAAAAAGAATATTCATGTCAAGATTTCTTTGAGATAAATCACAGTGGATTATATGGTATTTTCATTAGAAAGCAATGAATTTTCATCTGTTTGAGTAATACGCAAGTATTTTTATGCAAAAACGTATACACATCCTATTTTGAATTATACAGGAAAAACATAAAATGTTAACCAATTAAAATTTAATATCACAAAAAATTATGCAACTGTCACTTTATTGCACAAAATTCAATATTTTCTATGTTTTATTTCACATTTCAATGCACATAGTATAACATCTTAAACTTTTAAAATGCACCTATTTCTAAACAACACAGGATATTTTGAAATTCATACTTAAATATTTCACATATTTGTTGACTTCACATGCAAGATTTTTTTTAAATTTTCAATCTCATTCCTGAAAGAATAGATAAACAGTATATTGTTCAGATATTTTGTCTTACTTTATCTTGTGATTTTTTAAGTAAATAAAGATGAGCAGAAAACAACATTATTAAAGGCCATTTTCCTAGAAATGCATATTTAACATTCTTTTTTTTTAAAAAATCATGATATGAGGAACATATCAATTGTACTATGCAAACATTTGTAAGAAACAAAATAAGAAAGACAAAAGGATAAAAAAGGAGGAAAATGGATAGCCCCTGTCAGCTTATTATGGAATATCTCTTCTATAAATCTAAATTTGTTAAGAATCTGCTCCTATCTAGAGACATGTCAACCTGAGATAATGTAAACATAATGTAACAATCTCCAACATGGTTATATATACAATTAATAAAGGAAAATATGTAAAATCTTATTAAAACACACCCTTTTCCAGCAAAGCTGATGTGCAAGCATCACATGAAATTTTAAAATTTGTGGATATTTGTATTCAAGTCACAATGACATAATGAAGGTCATATTTTAGCCCTTAATCTGTTGGAAACAAAAGTTATTAGCCTTTGCCACCAGTATTGAGCAATACATGTCCACAAAAACCTGTGCAGTCCGACCAGGCTCTACACTGTTTGCTGACATTCTTCAAACTTTCACCTTGATATCCCTAAAATTGATAATGGACATTTCCAAAAACAGAAGCTAGACAAGTCTAGTGCACGCACTCAGCAGGTTACGGGTTAAGTTTCAAGCTTTACTGGTGGAGTAAGATCTCAGGTGACCTTAGGCACAAGCAGGCATCCGTGTAGAAGCATCAAGCATTAATCATCTCTATGCTGGCTGAATAGCTTCCTCATATACATAAAAATAACCAATGCCCCAAATGGGATTTAATTCACTTTGGTAAAAGGGCAAGTGTATTGAAGTCAGCAACCCTAACCACTCTGGCAAAAAAAACCCCACTTAATCTGAGAAAAGAACATTGTTTCAATTGTTTGTCCAAGCCATGCACGTGTCGAGATTTCAAGATATAATTATTCATTATATGCACAATACATGTAGAGATGAGGAAAATATCAGTTATTTATACCATACATAGTTACATGTATATTAAACAAGGTGAGTATCATAAATAAGTGTTATTTTACATTTTTCTTTTCATACATTTAAATTAAAATAATATTTTGACACAACCAAAAGAATTATTTCCTAAATCATGAAATGTTACACAATTAGTATCCATCAATACACAAAAATATGCACAAATTCTTATAGGCCAGTGTCCATATATAAATTAAAAGAATCCGTATTCATTAACTTTTCAAACAGTAAGATATATGGATTTCTAATGCTGGTAAATTTCAGAAGAACAAAATGTTTTTGATAAGAGTCAGATTTTGGCATTCTAACAGAAAATGAAATTCAACACCTATATGTTGGGGATAGAGTGTATCAAGATTTATATATTTTTTCAAAATTGTGATTCAAAATAAATATACTCATGTTTTACAGTTTATACTTTTATAGTAGTTTACCAAAAATTTACAAAACAATCTATTTCAAACCACACTGAAAAAATACATTTAGAAAATAAGAATATACATGTATTAGAAATACTTTATGGCACAGGGAGAGGATTTTCACTATTTTTGTTAAAACTTGCTTCTTTAGTCCATCTTATATAAACACAAAAATATACAACTTATTTATCAAAATCTTAACAACATCTAATTATTAATGTATAGTTATCTCAAGTTATTTATATTCTGTATAAATTTATTCAAGGAATACACAAATAAAATATCTATGTCTGTCCACTAATCATATGTTTAAATGGTTTATCAAAAATCATCAAGATAATCGATATATTACCAAATGAATTTAACTGTTAAAAAAAGGTACACACTATTTTCTCGAGAAAAATTTGATAACTAAAAGAAGTAAATTCCAATAACATTACATATACATATGTGTGGTTATAATAGTTCTACTTCACAAATAAGAGTGAGAGTGCACTTGCTGTTCATCCAATCAAATAGCTTGATACATAATATTTCATCCAATCAGATTTCTTGATACAAATGTCTAATCCAAATGATCGTAACAAATACAAAATTTCATCCAATCATTGGTGCTGTAGCAACTTTTCCCTCACCATCAGTAAATATGCGTACACGGTCCTCTCTATAATCCATTGTAACCATGGAGTTTTCAGGTAAAATCTGTATCTGTTTAAATACAAATAACTGATCAGTCAAAAAAAAAACTATTTAGGAATTAGAAAAATGATATTTTTGTTATTAATCCATTATCTAAATCTTATATAATATCCAATTTTTCTCTGGGACGCCTTTGGGACAGACGCCTTAATTCTGGGACTTTCCCAAGCGTCCGGGATATTATGGCATGTATGTCTAAAATATGGCTGGACTATAATGAAAATGTCAAATCAGACCACTATGTTAGAAAGATCATGTCACTGCTCAAATAAACTTACAAATGCTTATAGCAAGAGTACAATCATGTATTTTATTTTCTCAACTTTAATCATTTGTACATAACTAGCTAATGTGATATTTCACTGACAAAATATTTGGATATATTTATTTGGAATTAAACAAACATATAACTAACAAAGCAGCAAAGGTATTCACAAAACAAAACAAGGATATAATCATGCTGATGTCAACTGATGTCTTTTTACAATTGACTTATAATGAAAATATTTGAACCTAACATACACACATTAAACTATACTCCATAACAAGATAAAACATGTGAAACTAATGCCACACAATATAGAAATATAAACAATTTGCTGTTTGAAATGTTTAAATAAGTTGTTTAGAACATGTTGTTTTTATCCAAAAGCTATACTACAGTATAAAAAGTACAATTTGATAAAGAACTAGAGAAGTATTCAAACAGAATTTAGTTAAGTAATTCAGTTTTAAATGATATTTTACTAATGATACTGTACTGACCGTTATATTTTTATATATTCCTCTGATAACATTCTCTGCCTCTGTACTTGGCTGAAAGAAAGAAAACAAATGCAAAAATAATACATTGTAATTTATATCGGATCTGAATTTGTACACTTAACGATCCTTATACTAGAAATGTGTTCAAAGAACATTATGATTATAACTATACACATATAACAATAAACCAATATAAATTAAAGCTAAAAGAGTATCACATGTCAACACCAGAAATGGTTCTACAACATTTTAATGTCTACAATTAGTTTTGTGCATGTCATGGCTTTTTTATTTTCATGAATGTTTTAAATGTATGTACCATACATGTTATTTTAAATGTCCATGTATATGTATTCATTACTGTGATTACAGAAATAAAGCTACTTGTATTTCCTTCACTCCACTTTAATCCAATTAAGAAATACCAATTTAATCCAATTAAGAAATACCACTTTAGTCCAACTAACTAATCAATTTAATATGAGATAACTGTTGAATAAACAAACAACCAATCAACATGTTGAATAAACAAGGTGACATGCAAAAAACACATAATAGATGAAAATACTTTGTATTACAATGGGCGATTGAGATTAAATTCAATGTCCGTGTAAGTTATGTTTAAAAGATTTACAATATCTAAGTATACAACAGAACTATATCTCATGTTAAAAGTTTATGTTAACTGAGAAAGTAATCAAAAGTTACTAAAAATAATTGAAATAAACATATATAAAACCTTTATTTATTAACTTAATAAAAAATATTGAATGAGGGGTGAAGTGTCTTATTCATTATTGATTGTGGGGGGTAAAGTGGCTTCAAAATTTGAGGGGTGAAATGTCTTGTTCCCATTACTTTTGTGAATAACATGTTACAGTAGTATGACTTCATTCTACCTATTAACAATATGATGCAAATTAAAAAATGACAGATGCAATTCAACATTAATTTATAACAATGACCCTCATTTATGATTTTAAAATGGAACAATTCTTTAAAATCTGTAGCCCTGTTATGCCTGAACCTAGCTCAGAACAGTCAATTAATAAGTTAACGGATGTAATATAAATCCGTGCAAGTTGCAGTAAAGGACCAGTTCTGGTTTCACCAACACCATTTTCATTGAAATATGTGACTTTTAAATTTTTTGTCGATAATATAATGCAATGTGTGTCTAATAAGTTGGGAGCTCATTTTCTTATACAGTTTTGAATTGCTGGTTTCCTAGGAAAACATGCTGAATGAGTTGGAACAGGTCCTGTGCTGTAATTGGTCTACTTATAGTAGTTTCATGATTCCTAGTAAAGACATATTTGAATAATTTAAGGAGTAGGTAGTTATCGGTTATTGAACTGTTGCAGTTTTCAATTATTTGTTTTTGATTTTTGTTTTATTTGTTATTTCTCAAATGATACACAGAGCAGCTTGACATGTCCCAGTTTTAATTTCATAGATGCAGACAGTTCTCCTCTATATATAGGGAGAACAGTCAGAGAGAAAACCCCAGGGTAGGGACTGGTAAGTTCAGGACACAAGTGACATATTTATCATACAAAAAATGCCACGCCCACTTAAGTGAGGAATAAAACTAGTACTGTAACTAGAAGTGTGACATGTACGCCATTTTTTAGGTATCGTTTAAATGTTATGTAATTTAAATAAATATGCTTACTAATCCTACAAGCTCAGGCCAACTTGTCTGTTCCCCTCCAGAATTACTTTCTTGCGACATGTCAGCGTTGTTGTCTCCCTTGATGTGAATGGGAGAAATCATTAAACTAAAATTGAAGTTTTACCTTAGTTACCAAATATTACCGATTGTTAGTGGTTTTAATCATAATTCAAACAAATGATATTACTCAATTATATTTCAGGTGCTTAATTTTGCAACAAAATATTATAAATCTTAAGTCTCCATTGAAAATAATTAAAGATCCCTAACCGGAAATATGTTCAAGGGAAGCAACTCTATCTGGAAACGTCCACCTTGTCAAAAAAGTGAATTCGTTGCATGTTAAGAAGAAAATACTTTCCACTCATTAATTAAAAACATTCTGTTCATCAATTGAACTGTGTGAATTGATTTGATAAATAGCCTATCGTTTTGGTTGACTGTTTTAGGTGTGAATAGTAAGAAAGTATTTTTGAAAGAATTCCGAATTCAACAAGTCGGAGCCATGGGTGACAAGAAACTTTTGTATGTGTCACTTTTTATTTTGGTTCTTGGACTGTCCGAGGTGCAAGTTTTTGGAAGTGATCATGACAAAAGTGATAATTCTAAAGAAAAGAATAAGGTAATGAACTTTCATGTTACTTGAACTTGTAGGAATATGTCAAATCCAGTGATAATTATTTTGGACCAGTGAAAATTTTAAGAAATTTTAATATGAAAAAGGCAAAGCCTCAAAGCGAGCTCGATTTTCTTTTAACGTGAAATAGTATGAAATAATCGCTCATTTTTATTTCAAATGCAGTGACGAGTGCGTTAGTCCAATAGATTAGACGTTACAGGCTTGTTATAGTTTTATGTTGGTCAAGCCTGACGTCTAATAGTTATTGGTCAAAAACGCGTAGCATTTTGAAAAATTAAAAAAATGTCTGTTGACTTGCCTTTCAAGCTTTATTCAAAAGCTTATCTTCTGTTCTTTCAATTGCATGGTCTATCATTAACAAAAAGTTTCAAACAATGTACTTATTAATTAAAAATAAAATATAAATATCAATCTATTTCGCTCATCGGCCATACTGGTTTAGTAAAGCGTTTTACAGATTAATTCCAATTTTTTGAACGGAAAAATATTTTCGAACACACTGACGGTGCATGGGCAATTATTTTGTTTAAAAAATATTCCGTTAGAAACTTCTGGAGTCATTTAAACGCTTGCATTTGAATTAGCCAATCAGATTTCGCGCACTGTATGGCGGCCATTTGTATATCTGCTGTACATGGAATTTAATTAAATGAGAGGATTTAATCATGACTTTTCGGGTGTGACAGTTCAATTATTTTGTTGAAAGGTATTTAATTTTTAGTTTTGTTCATAAATAGTTCAAAATTTATGTAAATACACGCTGTTTTAATTGTTAAAATGCATTAGATCTAAATCAATGTCTAATGTCAAATTTTTTGCTACACGATTTTGCAAAGATCTGTTAAGACCTAACGTAACATGGAAAATGAAAAATGTAAAATATCAGATTAATGAATGATAAATATGAAATAGGTTACGTATAGGTCTTATAATTAGGACTAACGAGTGCGTGTGACGTTACACGTACTGTGTTAGATATGGCTCCGCCCCTGTCGTTAAATGAATAACGAGTTTTAAAAAACGTTGATAAAACTTTGTTTATTTTATTTCACTCTATAATTTTTCAAGCGAAATAAAGATTATTAAAAGTGAAATAAACGTAAAACTTAAAATGTTTGCGACATTAAGTATGAGACCCATAATGAGCACTATAAGGAACTATAAAATTGACAACATAGGTCAGTTATATACCTTTAAAGACACAAGAATGCAAAATTTAAACAAAGTTTACCGTATGTTTTACGAGTTATGAAGATTTTTCTAAAGTAAAACTTGGCTAATAGAAGGGCTCTTTTTATGCCCCCGCCATATAATGGCAGGGGCATATAGTGTTACCCTGTTCCGTCATTCCGTCATTCCGTCATTCCGTCCTTCCGTCCTTCCGTCATCATCAGTTTCCGTTCATTATCTTAATAACCCTTGCACATATTGAACTCAAATTTGACATATGGATATGTCATGAGAAAATACAGGTCAAGTTCGAAATTGGTCATGGTTCGATGATTTTTGGCAGAGTTATGCCCCTTTTACATTGAAAATAATATGAAATTTTCAGTTTCCGTTCATTATCTCCCAAACGGTTCAAAACATTCAATTCAAAATTGACATATGGATATGTCATGACAAAATACAGGTCAAGTTCGAAATTGGTCATGGTTCGATGATTTTTGGTAGAGTTATGCCCCTTTTACTTTGAAAATAATATGAAATTTTCAGTTTCCGTTCATTATCTCCCCAACGGTACAACACATTCAACTCAAACTTAACATATTGATATGTCATGAGAAAATACAGGTCAAGTTCAAAGTTGGTCATGGTTCGATGATTTTTGGCAGAGTTATGCCCCTTTTACTTTGAAAATAATATGAAATTTTTAGCTTCCGTTCATTAACTCCCCAATGGTACAACACATTCAACTCAAACTTGACATATGGATACGTCAAAGGAATGCGCAGGTCAAGTTTAAATTTGGTCATGGTTCAATGATTTTTTGCAGAGTTATGCCCCTTTCACTTTGAAAATAATATGAAATTTTCAGTTTCCGTTCATTATCTCCCCAATCGTACAACACATTTAGCTCAAACTTGACATATCGATACGTCAAAGGAATGCGCAGGTCAAGTTCAAATTTGGTCATGGTTCGATGATTTTTGGCAGAGTTATGCCCCTTTTTCTTTGAAAATAATATGAAATTTTCAGTTTCTGTTTATTATCTCCCCAACAGTATTAAACATTCAACTCAAATTTGACATATTGATACGTCAAAGGAATGCGCAGGTCAATTTCAAATTTGGTCATGGTTCGATGATTTTTGGCAGAGTTATGCCCCTTTCACTTTAAAAATAATATGAAATTTACAGTTTCTGTTCATTATCAACCCAACAGTGTTACATATTCAACTCAAAATTGACATATGGATATGTCAAAGGAATGCGCAGGTCAAGTTGGAATTTGGTCATGGTTCGATGATTTTTTGGCAGAGTTATGTCCCTTTCACTTTGAAAATAATATAGATACATCTTAGGAATAAGCAGTTTAAGTTTGAATTTGGTCGTGGTTCAATGATTTTAGACAAACTTATCTTTCCTGAATGTTGAACTTTCAGTTTTAGCACTCATACTTTTGTGGAAATGTATATAGCCATTATGTTGGCTACAAATATGCAATATGCTGTTTTTAAAAGGTTAAGACTGAATAATTTCAGTGCCTTGAACATTATATAAAAATGGTTTGTGTTAACATTGAAAAGTTTTAAGGGCTTTGAACTTAGAATGAAAAAAATAATTTGTGCAAACAAATTTGGAACTAAATATTATAACATTTGAAATTTTGGCTGCATGCGGGGGCATCCGTGGCATGATGACACATTTCTAGTTCAGAAATGAGAAACTCTAATTATTCTATTATATAATAATTATGTAATAATGTAATAATGTTTTCCTATAGAAAATATTTTAGAAACAAATAATAGCATTCAGCTAACAAATGACCCAGCAAAATTATTTTTTCTACTCAAAATGTTTAAAATATGTAAATATGTATATAAATGTTACCCTACCCCACCCATTTTAAGTAGTTGTTTGATCATTTTTAGCTCGACTATTCGAAGAATATGAGAGCTATTGTAGTCGCCCCGGCGTCGGCGTCAGCGTCCGCGTCGGCGTCTGCGTTGGTTAAAGTTTTTTGTAAAGTCAAATATCTCAATTATTACTTGAGATATTCAATTGAAACTTACAATACTTATTTATAGTAACAAGGTACATCAGATTGACAAGTTGGATAACTCTGCCTACAATATTTACAGAATTATGCCCCTTTTTAACTTAGAAATTTTGGTTAAAGTTTTTTGTAAAGTCAAATATCTCAATTATTGCTTGAGATATTCAATTGAAACTTACAATACTTATTTATAGTAACAAGGTACATCAGATTGACAAGTTGGATAACTCTGCCTACAATATTTACAGAATTATGCCCCTTTTTAACTTAGAACTTTTGGTTAAAGTTTTTTGTAAAGTCAAATATCTCAATTATTGCTTGAGATGTTCAATTGAAACTTACAATACTTATTTATAGTAACAAGGTACATCAGATTGACAAGTTGGATAACTATGCCTACAATATTGACAGAATTATACCCCTTTGGAACTTAAAAATTTTGGTTAAAGTTTTTTTGTAAAGTCAAATATCTCAATTATTGCTTGAGATATTCAATTGAAACTTACAATACTTATTTATAGTAACAAGGTACATCAGATTGACAAGTTGGATAACTCTGCCTACAATATTTACAGAATTATGCCCCTTTTTAACTTAGAACTTTTGGTTAAAGTTTTTTGTAAAGTCAAATATCTCAATTATTGCTTGAGATATTCAATTGAAACTTACAATACTTATTTATAGTAACAAGGTACATCAGATTGACAAGTTGGATAACTATGCCTACAATATTGACAGAATTATACCCCTTTGGAACTTAAAAATTTTGGTTAAAGTTTTTTTGTAAAGTCAAATATCTCAATTATTGCTTGAGATATTCAATTGAAATTTAAAATACTTTTTTATAGTAACAATGTACATCAGTTTGCAAAATTGCATAACTCTGCCTGCAATATTTGCAGAATTATTTGCCCCTTTGAAACTTAGAAATTTTGGTTAAAGGTTAAAGGTCTTCAAAGATATTTACTTGAAACTTTACACATGCACTTAGGGTCATAATTGGAGGGTCATACTATCAAGCACTTAGAATAGTCGAGCGTGCTGTCCTACCGACAGCTCTTGTTCTACTTGGAGGGCCTAATTCAAAATATCCCTAAAATTTTCTCAAATCAGGGGCTGTTTTCAAAGTTTGCATAAATTTTCTTAAAAGTATATTGGATGCGCTTGTCAAATATAAAATACTTTTACCGTCTAGTTTTTATTTTATTAGACTTTGAAAATATCAGGTACCATATTTGATAATAAATTTGGCACAATTTAGCCAAAAGATACCAATAATAATTTTATAATTAAAATGAAACACTTTTTTCTTATCAAGAGTGATCTGAGAGACACAAATAATGTTCAAAGAAAAAAAAGAAAGAAAAAAAAAAGTTGCCTCTTCTGGGGCTTGAACCCGCGCCCCTCAGTTTCAATGCGGTTGACAGTAGTTCTAGTCTATTTGAGTACTCTTCAAAGTGGAGGTAATGCATTAGGTGCTGTTTGGCGCTACATTGTGACGTCACGTAAACAATACTTTAAACGTCTGTACAGCGTTAACGACTGAATAAAAGATATTTGTGTTCGGATTCATTTTCTTAGTTAGACCATTTTCTTTCATTCTCGATAGTTTTCACAACAAAATTCGACAAAAAATTGTTTTTATTTATCAGATTTTTCAAACAAAATGGCGCCTTCAATTTTCTTCGATATTTCACAGCTTCCGTTATTCTGGTTTCCTGTCTAATTATGGTTCCCATAGACGTGCGCGGGTGACCAGTCTACACATCCGTTTTCAGTCAGAATTCCTCAGTTTTTATCGTTATCTTTAAATTCGAAAGGTTGCGATGTGTCAAATTCGTTACTTTGGACGAAAGTTTTCAAAACCATCACTTAGCAGGTACTCGCGTTACCGTAAAGCTCGCTTTGCGAGCAGGCCCTTCGGGCCAGCTCGTCGAGCTCGCTAGTAAAATATGTTGTAGAATAAATTAAAAACTGGAATTCGGTCTAGTAATTCAATATCTAAAATTCATTAAACTGTAAATGTAATGTGAAAGTAGGCAAAGTCTATGAACGGGGAAGTTCGTTAAAAAAAATTCCTGATCATTTTTTATTTTAATATTTCTGATTTAAAATTGTTATTCTATAACTTATGTACCGCTTCTATTTTCAATCGGAACAGTTCTACGATGATTCTCAACCCGTAAAGGCTCAAGTTGCGATTGTTCCATTATCAGAATAACTTGTTACATATTAATTGTTTGTTTGTTTTGGGTTTTATGTCACATCAACAGAGTATAGGTCATATTGCTACGTTCCAGCTTTACTGGTGGAGGAAGACCCCAGGTGCCCTTCTGTGCATTATTTAAAGCACGAACGGGCACCTGAGTAGAACCACCGACGTTCCGTAAGCTAGCTGGATAGCTTCCTCACATGAAAGAATCCAAAGTCCCTGTCGGGATTAGAACCCACAGCAGTGAGGGGCAAGTGGTTTAAAGTCAACAACCTTATTTAAACCACTAGGCCACATTATGTAATTAATGACTTACATGTAAGTAAACTTAAAGATGCCAGTGTTCGAAATTAGCAGTAGTCCGATAGCCCCTGACTACTAAATTTCTCCTCGGGCTACCAACTTTTCACAGTAACATGCCCGACTAGGCTACTGTATTTTCAGAGGCAATATAAACAACTGTTTAGAACAAATGAATCATGCTAGTGAAATGTCTTTTGGGCTAGTGAATATTCCAATCTGGTAGTCCGACCAGCCTTGTCAAGTAAAATCCTAATTTCCTACACTGAGATGCACAAGTCTAAACCACTTAATTAAGCCAGTGATAGAAAATCATTTCCATTATACAATTTTAAGGAATATTAAGTACCAAGGTCCTAAGGGCACCATCCTTAGTTAACTTGGAACTATGAATGTTATCTCGGGTAGCTGAGGGAATGCCTTTTATGGTTAAGGCATGAGAATTGCAGCCACTGTTTATCTCTTTGTGATCTTAAGAGGCGACTAAATTGGGTCGAACAACTGGAGTCTATGCATCTCTTAGCTCCAGTAAGTGATGTGGTTTTCGCCCCTGGTGTTGCTTAAAAGTTTGTAACACTCAAAGTTAGCCAAAATCATCTTACCTGTTTCGCTATATGGTCTTTACCATAAAACAGTCTTTTGTTTTGATTGACCCTGTAAGCAGCAGTCACTTTGTCATTAGCAAGCAGCAATGTCGTTCCAATTTTAAAATGAAATTCAAGAAACATATAAGTTAGTGAAGAATTTTAAAATCAATATATCTTTGTCATTTCAGTCTCTTCTTAAACTTAAAGAAGAATCTACAGATGAAGGTTCTTATATCACATACATCAAATATAAGGTGGCTCATTCCGAGTTTCTTCATGGATTCATTGCCTCTTTATCTATGATCATTGTATCAGAACTCGGAGATAAAACATTCTTTATTGCTGCTATTATGGCAATGAGGCATTCAAGAGCAGTTGTGCTGGCAGGAGCCTTAGGAGCACTGGTTGCTATGACAATTCTGTCAGGTAAGATTAACATTTGTTGTTTTTTTTCTGTTCAATTTCTGATTCAGACTGATTGAGCCGTTGGCTGTTAGTTAATTTGCTAAAAGCACTATTAATGTCAGTTATTTTTTTTCAAATACAGTTGAGGAAATACAGAATAATTCCACTATCACAAAATAGATAAATTTATTTAGAAAAATGCTCAAGTTCGTCCTAAATTGCCACTATGCACATAAGTCACCAGACCCATGACTTATAAAGCAGGTGACTTAGATCAGCTTTATATTGATAAATTTAATGGACTAAAAGACAGAAAGCTGTCACTATTATTATCACTATAGATAGGCTTTAGCTTCTGCTATATACCTTGCATATTCAATTGTAAATCTGATTCTATATGTGGCCAATTGCATTCTCAAATGTTAGTGTTGGATTTCAGATCTTCCAATTTTTAGCTCACCTGTGAGGCTGTCACAAAGTGACAGGGTGAGCATTTGTGATCGCTTTTCGTCCGTCTGTCCGTCCGTAAACTTTTACTTTTAAATGACATCTTATAAACCAATAAGGCAATTTCATCCAAACTTCACAGGAATGTTCCTTTGGTGGTCACCTTTAGAAATTGTTCAAAGAATTGAATTCCATGCAGAACTGTGGTTGCCATGGCAACCGAAAGAAAAAACTTTAAATATCTTCTTTTAAAAAACCCAAAGAGCTAGAGCTTAGATATTTGGCATGAAACATCTTCTAGTGAGTGTCTACCAAGTTTGTTCAAATAAAAGCCCTGGGGTCAAAATTGGCCCCGTCCCAGGGGGTCATTGATTTTCCGTATATGCATAAAGTGAAAACTTAAAAAATCTTCTTTGAAAAAACCCAAATAGCTAGAGTTTAGATATTAAGCATGAAACATCTTCTAGTGAGTGTCTACAAAGTTTGATCAAATAAAAGCCCTGGGGTCAAAATTGGCCCTGCCCCAGGGGGTCATTGATTTTCCTAACATGTATATGCATATAGCAAAAACTTAAAAAAATCTCCTTTGAAAAACCCCAAATAGCTTCAGTTTAGAAATTAAGCATGAAACATCTTCTAGTAAGTGTCCACAAAGTTTGTTCAAATAAAAGCCCTGGGGTCAAAACTGGCCCCGCCCCAGGGGTGTCATTGTTTTTAACTATATGTGTTTAGTAAAAACTTAAAAAATCTTCTTTTTAAAAAAACCAATGAGCTAGAGCTTAGATGTTAAGCATGAAACATCTTATTGATGTCTACCAAATTTGTTCAAATAAAAGCCCTTTGGTTAAAATTGGCACTGCAGGGGTGGGGGGGGGGAAGAGGTCATTGTTTTTCATTATATGTGTGTAGTAAAAACTTAACATCATGAAACATCTTCTAATGGGTGTCTTCCAAGTTTGTTCAAATAAAAGCCCTGGGGTTTAAACTGGCCCCCTCTGGGGGCCTATATACAGGTGAGCGACCTCAGGGCCATCATGGCCCTCTTGTTTTCATATTCATGTCACTACATTTTCCTTTTCAGAGAGTCACAAGTTGTTTTGAAAATTAAATAGATAAATAAAATATACTATGGTACATTTGTAGAAGTGGTACACACCAATCTTCATTTTGAAACCACTTATTCAGTGTTTTTCACGAAACATTAGAAATTAGGTAACTAGATTGGCTTGTTAAGGGATTACTAAGCCTGTTATAATAGACATTTATTATATAAATTTGTTTGAATTTCAGCCTTGCTTGGTTATGCCACAACTATTATCCCAAGACAAGTAACTTATTATGCATCTTCTATACTGTTTCTGGTGTTTGGAGTCAAGATGATCAAAGATGGTTTGTAACTTTATTTTTTTGGTTTATTTAGAATTTATGTCAGTTCAATTGTGTAGGAAGTTGTAAGCTAGTAGATACACTTTCGAATTCATTCCTTGAACAAACCAGTACTGAGCAATGAGTGTAAAGTTTCTTGCTCAAGGAAACAACGACTTGCCCCTTACAGGGTTTGAACCCATGCGGCTAGCGATCATTAGATTACTATTCTGACATGTTAACCACTAGGTCATGCCGCCACTTAAGTTTTTTATGGTACTGTATGCTGTCTAACAACTAGGCGTAGGTCTTATAAAGAAAAATCATATTGCGATATTTATGTATTATGAACTATATAAAATGCTTGATACCTACAGAACCTTGTCTTAAAGAGTTTATTATTAAGCATTACACGTATGTCCCAATAATTGGTATGTCAGGGCCCTTTAATAAAAGATTTCACAATGTGTTAAAAAGGCATGGTAAAAATACTAAACCACTAAATGTAAGTGCTATTTGAAGCCAACCTAATAAAAGATGACTACACTTCTATATTTAATAGAATTTTATGTTTGTATTAATAACAATTTATAGCTTCAATATATTGCATACTGTAATACAATATTGCAAAATGAAATATTGTGATATCCAATATATTGCACAACCCTAATAGCAACATCAGTGTTATGAATATGATTCATGCCAACAGTATAATTTGTTATTAATGATGTTTTCAAATCCCACATACCATATTTTAGGAGCATTCAAATAAGTTTTAACTTTAATTCTTCTTATTATGTATCTTGATGCATACAATTTCACTCAATAACTTGAAAAAATTCTATAAACATGGGGAAGGTTATAAATGAAATCTGGCATGATGCTGACAAATAAATTCAGTTGATTCTGAATCATAAATGCATTTAGTGTTTGAAGTTATTTTTTGTGCAATAGGATGGTAGTATTTCAAATGAATCGTAACACATTTCTTTTGGTAAATCGGCAAACTGTTAATCAATCTCATAAATTGACAGTTTACCAAAATATTTTCAAACACTAAGCCGGTTAAAATTTTTGAGTACATATTTATCAAAATCAAATTGGTCGCATGGCTGTGCGGCGCCTGACCAATTTAATTTTGTAAATACGTACACATAAACTTTAACTTATATGTACTGGTCGGGGACCATCAACCGGACACTTTTTGAACACTTTTCCGTACAGATTTCAAAATTTTTAATCTAGAGACCTAAAAATTTGACATAGTTCAGTTAGGTTCTTCACCTAACTAAAAAACTAGTTTGTTTATTTCTAATCGTATTGACACTTACATCTGAGGCTCGACAAGGAGGGTATCAAAATTACCTAAATTGTCTACGCTACAGTACCATGTGTCCGGACAGATATGTACATGACGTGATTTAATTCAGATAAAAGCTTGGGTGTTTTGATTTTTGATTTCTAACATGATAAACAATATTTCAGCAACAAATGCTGACGTTTTGGATATTCTATTGTTTACTCTTCAAATGATTATAGCTGATATATGAGGTCAGGCATTGCTTTCTTGACCCCCAAATTGAACGTCAACATTTTTGAAATAGACATTAAAATATTACCATTTACGGAGGTGGAAAATAAAATTATTTACTTAATTTAGGAGAAACATGCATTTATTGTTGATAAAAAAGTGACTGACAACAAATGAACAAAGAAAATACTATATTGAGCATTTTCCGGGCCGTCCGGGTTTGGTGGTTGTCCGGTTTTGGTGGTCCCCAACCAGTAGTATTACATTATTTAAAGAGTTGTATCTTTTTTAGGATATTTTAAATACATTTAACATTTTATCATAGTTGTCAAACAGTGTTTAACACTATATAACATATGATTATAGGATGGTACATGTCTCCGGATGAGGCCCAGGAGGAATATGAAGAGGCCCAGGCAGAAATTAAAAAGAAAGAAGATGAGGTATAAAAATGTTTATGTTTCTAATAACAAACCTGAGTATATGCTTAACAGGGGTTAAAACACTGTTTTTGGAAAGCAGTTTTCTTACAGAACTACACAAGATTGAAGAACATAACAGATTATTAAAGTGTGGTCCTAACATGGCTCAATTTTCTGTGTAAAAATTTACAACTTTTTTTAATTTCATTTTAAAATTAAATATTTTATTGAATACATGTACATTTAAACCTTGTTTACTCGAACATGGATCGCTCAATCTCACCATCTGGTCTAGGCAAAATTCCTTGATATTATAATTATATTGTTCTACCACATAAACCTTAAACAAACAGACTTACAAATAATTATGTAGATGAATTTTTCGTTTGACTGATATAAAATGGATTACCTCCATGCCACTGTCCTTGATAATCAGATAAAATACAATATTATTTAGACATGATAATACTTCAACCTCAGTTAACTCTATCTAACTACCTATCTCTCAAACACATGTTCACATGCCCTCTGAGTACGAGGAAACAAAGTTTGACTGTACTTAGAATGCTTGTTGGAAATTTCATTTTAATATTAATTTGTGTCTCATTATCGTAATATCACTATAAGCATTATAATTTACTAATTCTTTTTTCACATTATGATTTACCATTGACCAAACCTTTATATATTTACCATCAAAAGGACGTTAGTTGTTTGTAAAGTACTTCATACCACTGACAACCAAACTACCTAATTTCACTATTGCACTAATTTTTGGTAACTGCAACATTTCTATGGTGATATCCATACATATTTACCTCCCTTGCAAATCATTAAGATCATGAGTGAAAACTGAAAAGAATAAATATAACAAGGGAGATTAATTACATAAACTAGTTGTTCGTACAAAACCTAATTTAAAAGCACATTATGCCTCAAAAATCCATATTTATTAAATTCTTTAGAAATGTGAAACATGTGTTTAATAATGTTCTAAAAATAGATTTAGAGTATGTTACTTAGATATTTAACATCTGAAGGCTATGAAAGGTAGCGCTGAGTGGGCAGTAATGTGTTGTAAATGTAGCAAAATGCAAACAAAGTAGTATTTTTGGCTTCCATACTAATTACTAATTCACTGTATTGATTAAAATTATACCAATTGCCAACTAAGCAAAAGAAGCAAAGATAGCTATGACATCTCTAACGGCAAATGAGTATTTTTGGAGACTTACAAAATACCAAAAATTTAATGTTTTTGTGAAATAAAAAGATGGCATTTCTGAGGCATAATGGGCCTTTGAATAATTGTATTTAGCATCTCTTTTGCTTGAATAGGTCGGTAATTATGAAACCTGAGGAAAAATCTTGTCAAATCCATTTCCAAATACTAGAATCAGTCATAGAAGTATACCTGTCAATTGTATTATCATGAACAATTTGAACTTAAAACTTGCTTAAATAAAATGTATTTCTTTTCTTCCAGCTTTTTTCATCAACTCAAGACATAGAGACAGGAATTATTCGAGGTCCTAAAAGAAATATACTCACAATGTTATTCAGTGCTATATTTATAGAAGCCTTTGTTTTAACGTTTCTCGCAGAATGGGGGGATAGATCTCAAATAGCTACAATTATTCTCGCTGCACGTGAGGTAAGTCTTTAGCTCTTAGCCTGATGAAGGTAACCGATTCTGCCTTCGCAACCAGTGCAAACTAAGATTAGAAACATACTTTTTTGAAAATCTATATTAGTGTCTTCTTCCTAAATCCATTTGTATAAGTAGTTTGGTCAAGATTGTATATCTGAATTGAATTTAGGAAAGTTTAGAATTAATATTAACTACACATCAATATAATTTGTATTTGTTGTTTGATCATTTTATACTGCAAAAAATATAAACTGCCCTCAAAGTAAGAGGGACAAGCCTTATATGTGTTATAAAGACCATAAAGATCTCTTCCGTCCTTATCAAGGGGAGTGCTAACCTTCTCTCCTTTCTTATAACACAATAAATTTGTGTACTTTCTGTCTTTATATATCAGCAAATTTGTAATATAGCTTTAGGACTATTTCAAAATTTGCATATTGATAAAGATCATACACTAAAATTCAAGGAAACAGTTTTGATAAAAAGAACTTTGCTTGAGGGTATATTTGGTTACTTTGCATATTAATATTGATAAAAGATTTGATGACATATCAAGATTCATTTGTTTTTTGCAAAATAAACATGTTTTGAATGTTTCATTAACTAAGGGGAGTAACTCATTCAAAATTTATATCCAGTACATGATCAGTCATTAGTAAGTAACAGGGTTATCACTAACTTATTAAGAAATTTATTAAACAGGACATTCACTCATTAAATAAGTAAAACAGTAGGGCATAATTAAATTTCAAATTGGTCAGTTATGTATAAATTATAATACAAGTACAATAAATAAGAATTCACCTAAATTTATACAAGGTTTTCTTTTGTTGTTCAATAAGGGTACTATGCAATATTATATTCATTGTTACAGGATGTAGTTGGTGTAATTATAGGAGGGTGTTTAGGCCACGCCCTCTGTACAGGTTTAGCTGTTTTAGGAGGTAGAATTGTAGCGCAGAAAATATCAGCTCGAACAGGTATGTTATATGCATATTTTTTTTGGTCTTTACGAGTATATCGACTTTAAGTTAAAGTTGTAAATAATTAACTGGTGCAATGTCTTACTTTAACTTAGCCAAACAATATAAATATATTATGTTTAACCAATCTACACACCTATTAATTTGTACAACTAGTGAAGATTGTGTAGAAATATTATAAAAATCTTAAACTGGCTAGATTTGAATCATCATAATCACAGGCAAGTGTGTTTTCTTCAACAATGTAAAGATTTCACTATCAACTATCAGACTAAAGGAATGTGACTCAGAATGCTTTCAAAATATAAAAGGATATTTTGTCTGTGCTTGCATTTTCACCTTTAGCCTGCTAGCGGCAACCACAGGTGTTTGACCCGTTAATTGATTATTTTGCCTGCTTCCCCCCCACCCTACCCAGAAAAAAAGTTGCATACATGTATGTTATATATTTATCATTTGGGGGGGGATGACTATTTCTACCCATGCAAAGACAGAATATCGGCTTTTCTCTGTCTGATCAAGTTCAACACTGTTTGCTATAAGTCAGTACTTATTTTGAGAATATCTCTATCTAGCTTTTATATGAATTTTAATATTTTATAATTTCAGTGACTATAGCTGGTGGAATAGTATTTATCATATTCGCTGTCACTGCCTTCTTGATGGGTCCTGACTAAAGTGAGCTGAGTTCATGGTCTAGCAGATATATACATGTTAATATCCACATGAGATTGGTACTGTGATATTGCAGTGTTTCAATATTTTAATATAATATATTTATAATTTAGACCCTGAAGTGTATTTTTAGATCGCTAATCTATTAATAGACTAAATTTCTATTTATAGACTGAACATCTATTTATGAAACAATAATTATGATATTTTGGATGGTATTCTGTTATCTTAATATAAAAAGGAAAATATAAGGTATTATATTCCTGTTGATTAAGATGGATTTTAAGTTATTACATGATACAAAATAGTTAGTGCTTAAATAGTTAAAATTTTAGAGATGTTGCCATAAATATACATATAAATTTACATAAAAAATTGCATTGACAATTGAATTATTTGTCCAACATCATAAAAAGCCCTTATCAAAGCTCAAGATATATAAAATGTATTATTAAGGTATAATAAAATATTCTGACAGAACTTCAGAACTAACTGGAATGCACCTCTCTTTTGTAATAATAAGATTTAAAATAAAAAATGTGATAAACATGAGATTTTGACAGTACATAAGATTAACACTTTATTTTTATTATCAAAAGACTATCTTCTATTGCCTAAAACTTTTATAATTACAAATACAATTATTAATCTCTACTTGATTGTGGAATAAATTTCCAAAAGAAATAACTCTTTATGATTTTTTTAAATGGACAGGGTATTGTTTGTATTGTGTTTATTTGAAATCTTTTGATTTTACTTCTTAGCATTGAAAAAAGATACATGGTGTTATATCTGTCCGAACTGTAATAATTTGTATTGATAATATACATGATATATAACATACCTGTAAGTCAGTTTTGTTTATGATTTTTGCTTCATTTGGAATAGATAACTGTTGAACACTTTGTATACTTAGGACTTTCATTGCAGTAACCTTTCCTGTTAATTGTTAAAACAGTCCTGAAAAATCTGGTGCCTTTATGAATATTTGAAAATTCTTTTATAGTCTACGTAATTCTTGAAATTTGAAATTCAATAGAATGATTAACTGCAAATACAAAAACTCAAAAATTTATTGTCTTAAATAGTTTGTTTAAATACATGTATAGAAAGTACATGGATTTTTAATCGAAATTCCTTTCTGAGTGTGGCAATTTTGTGGTTATAATGATTTTTATATTATTCAAATATTTACAAAGTTGGTTTAGACAGTAAAAATGATTCTGCTTGTCTGTGTATAGCATTAGATAATTATGATAAAATTGAAATTATACACTACGTTTCAGTAGTGATTAATTTTTTTTTAAAACATTATCATTGAATATTATTTAAAAAGTCTTTCTTAAATGCTCGCCATTGATCATTACATTATGATTTTATATTTCAAACATGGCCAATACTACATTTACATGAATGTAAATCTTTAGTCATTTTGGTGCATTGTTTATTAACCCTCGTCATATGAAATTTAAATAATTGATTTGCCCTGGTTTGCATTTTAGACTGTCAATTTTTAATGTGAGAAGTTTCTATGTCAAAATGCAGAATAAATTTCCAAAAGTTAACTGATTAAATGCATTTGAATCTTTTTAGCATTGAAAAAAAGATACAGTGGTGAAACTGTTAAGTTGCATTTGAATTTGGAATATGTTCTTTTACTAGTCTACGTAATTCTTGAAATTTGAAATTCAATAGAATGATTAACTGCAAATACAAAAAACTCAAAAATTTATTGTCTTAAATAGTTTGTTTAAATACATGTATAGAAAGTACATGGATTTTTAATCGAAATTCCTTTCTGAGTGTGGCAATTTTGTGGTTATAATGATTTTTATATTATTCAAATATTTACAAAGTTGGTTTAGACAGTAAAAATGATTCTGCTTGTCTGTGTATAGCATTAGATAATTATGATAAAATTGAAAATTATACACTACGTTTCAGTAGTGATTAATTTTTTTTAAAACATTATCATTTGAATATTATTTAAAAAGTCTTTCTTAAATGCTCGCCATTTGATCATTACATTATGATTTTATATTTCAAACATGGCCAATACTACATTTACCATGAATGTAAATCTTTAGTCATTTTGGTGCATTGTTTATTAACCCTCGTCATATGAAATTTAAATAATTGATTTGCCCTGGTTTGCATTTTAGACTGTCAATTTTTAATGTGAGAAGTTTCTATGTCAAAATGCAGAAAGTTAACTGATTAAGATGCATTTGAATTTGGAAATGTTCTTTGTTAATTTTAGTGATTACAGTATGAAAATGTTCAAATGTGAAGGTCATTAGTTTAGACCTTACTCTGCTGGGACAGAGAGTGATTAGCCTTTGCCACTAGTATAGAAGCGCACAGCTTGCATTTTTGTGCAGTCTGAGTGGGCTCTATACTGTTAGCTGACAGTCTTCAAATTTTCATTTCGATTTTCCTAAAATTGATAATGAAAAGTTCCAAAAATAGAAGGTGGACAAGTCCGTGTAAAAAAATTTAGCATAGTAAATGTTTAAAGTTCAGACTTTACGTAGGTCCAAGCTGGCTGTCCTCCGTTCTAATTGCATACAGAATCATCATTACTAAACATTAGTGTAGTTAAATTTGCAAGTTTAATTAAAAATTTGTCTACAAATGATGCTTAATAAGATTTAAAATGTTATTAAAGTGAAATTACTAAGTTTTTGGCATTGGCTTAGAATGTTTATGGTTCTACGTAGGGATTAGTGTCAATGTCTATATTCTTTTTTATAAGACATGTAGTAGGAAAATTTTTCATCCATTATAATCGGGTTTTGTGCACTTTCGTTTATCAGTACATTGGTATATTTTGATTCACTTAAAGCCAATTTAACCTTCTTTTTCATACATCTTGCATTTTTGTTGTTGCTTATATTTTGGTGTGTACATACATGTATAAAACAAACACTAATTGAGCCTTGGCAAAGAACCAAACTCTTGATCATTTCATAGACATTTATTTAGCCATGATAATTTGTGAAACATTCCATGATTGTTGACCATTTGTTTTGAAATTCATTTGTTTTGAATTTACCAGTAATAACTGAACCATGTACTTTATATCTGAAGTTAATTGTTAGGCCCTTATTCTCATTGATGTCCACAGTTGGTAAGAAAAAGTGAAGCAGTTAGCTCTATAAAGGGGGAATAAGGTCTGTGAATAAAGATACACCTTTATAGGTACACCTTTTCCTCTATATTGATAAATCTATCCTCTTGTTTTCTTCGCTGTCTCCCTGATCCGAGACCCAGACAAGGGTGACTAATATCAGCTTAAAAGTTCAGGCTTATACCTGTCCAATGACACTACTCACAGCATTTGGGGGCTTGGTTCAAGAACACACATGCTTACCACATCCAATGCCTTGCTTTTTGGCAGTTATGTTTTGATAATAAAACTACCGGGGCTGTCATTGCATTTAGCTGTTTTAACCTTGCTCCCTGAGTCACGCATATTTAAAACTCGCAACAGCCGTGTGTGCTCACAAAAAATCTGTTGATAAATGCATGTATTCTTCTTTGTTAATGTATACCCAAATGTATAGTTTTTATGAAAGAATATTGGTTCATATAAGCATTACAATTATTGAGTTAAAGTAAAAATGTTTAAACTAATGTATGAAATGGCAAATTGCCATTAAGAGAGATAATTGGATTTCATAGTAGTACTGATTATATCAATGTCCCTTTACACTCCACATCCATGTTGTTTGTTTGTTGTTTTTTTCATGTATTATCATGCACTCGTGCAGATATGAACACTCTAAATTATTTTTATGAATATTTTGAAAATATTATATACAAAATTGCTAGGTCTCTGCTTAATATATAGATGCTCAATAAATTTTATTTTCTTAACAGTTTTAGTTTGTTGTATGCGTATAATTAGACATGTAAATTGTTGTAAGTTAATATGCAATTTAAATTGCACATTTAAAATTTATCATCGACCTCGCTTTTACATTCTTAATGTATATATCAATACGTTAATTGAATACCTTACACTTTTTTTACCGAGAATAAAATTACACATTTAACATAAATGATAGTGGTTTGAACCAGTGCTATGAGTAATATGTTGTCCATGCCTTTACCATTATGACAATTTAGTAAAGTATGTAGTGTATAGTTAAGGACATGTACAACTGTGGTTTGTAAGTTAATTACATTATATTGCATGTTTAAATTTTTATCCATGCATATTTTTACACTTTCCTTAATATGTGGTGGATAAATCATACACTTTGCTTTAAAGTTTGATTTTGCTTAACACTTAATTACCAAGAATGAAATTACAAATTGTATTACATTTAAATGATAGTGGTTTTGAAGCCATAGCTATGAAGAATATGTTGTCCATGCCCTGTTACCCATATGATATACCAGTACATATTAGAAAAAAGGAGATTGGTTTTATTTCACTTGTTTTGGACAAATTACCATGGTGACATGTACCTTTTTAAAAAAATGTGATTGACATAGGCTCATAGGGCAATAGGTTTCATTAATTACATCATTTTTCTCACTAAAAGCATAAATATATCATCAACTTAGTGCAGTTACTTAAGGAGTTAACTTCCTTCACTGCACTAAGGCAACAATATATATATTTTGAATTTTTATTGACATTTCTACTTGAATTTTGAAGTTTATTTTATTGTCTATAAGCCAGAAATAAATAGCTTAGTGGCTTAAAAGGTCATGGAGGGAAGGCAAGAGGCTGTCTTTTCCTGCAGACTTTATGTAAATGAAATGATATAATGCTACTAGCATATTATCATGTTAATCTATTTCTCTAAAGCTTACATTTTTGCTCATAAGATGAACAGTTCATGTCACAAAGTTTTGGTTTGTTTCATATTGTTACTTACAGATTATTGTTTTGATTATATAATGTATATTTTACTAATTGTGTATGTAGTGATTTAGTTTTTATATATAATCAAATTGTTAACATACATTTGCCATATACAATTTGCATGGATAGTATGTTGTGAAGATGATGAAATTTGATAAGAGAATGTATTTCATGATTCATTCTATAGAAAGGTAGTCGGGCAGAATGTGGAGATGTGACAGTCAAGTTGTCATGGTGATAGTGTGAAACATATCATAAAAAGCATTGACATATTTCATCAATAAGAGCTTCATGAAAAGATAATTATATTCACTCACCTTGACCGTGTACATGTCCCAAACATTTTTTGGTGAAACATATCCTCACCAATTTATCCTTTTGTCTGTAATTTAATAACCAACATCATAAATAATTGATGTGTGGTTCTTTACCAAAATTTCTTGTTAATTAGGTCAAGGTCACTGGTGCTATAATTAGATTTTCATCTACCAGTACTCTTCATGGTATTAACCATGAGATGAAACCACATAAGGGTAGCATCAATGAGGGTATCTCATATCTTACATCTTAAAAAAGGATAAATTTATGTTTAAAGTTGTATTGAAAATCTTTAATAACATGGTTAAAAAATTAACTTAACCTTCATAAGGTTAAATCAAACAAAGTTTTATATGATTAGTGTATAACCTTGTTGTTTACTTTTTGGCCATGCTTCACTGCAAATGTTCTTTTTTTTCATGACTATAAATATTCCATGTTCATCATTTGTAAATATAATACATGTATAATGATTATATATCAATCAGGAATTAGAGTAGTTTATGTTCTTTTCATTTTGTTCTTGTTTTCTGTATAATATGTCATTCCAGCAGTGCTAAAGTTGTGTTAAATTTTGACATTTAAGCTTAAAATGTTGACATTATACTGTAAAATGTTGACATTATTGAATTTTGACATTGAATTTTGAAAAATTTAAGCATTGATATAAAAAAATGTTGGTATTGAATTGCGAACTGTTGACATTGAATTGTAAAATGTACACATTGAATTGTGAACTGTTTACATTAAATTGTAAAATGTTGACATTGAGTCATAAAATGTTGACATTAAATAATGAAATACTGACATTGCATCTGGAATGGGTAAGATATAAACATCCATACATTACAAAGTTGTTAAATGTTTAAAATAGCACTAATTGGAAACTGTGCCAGAACTTCAAGTGGTGTGAATTGATAAATACACATGTATTAGAGAGATGGGGTTACTGATAGAAGCAAAGATCCTGTGATTTATATGTTTTTTGAACTGTTGAGTTACTAGTGTGTAGATGTTAAAAGTGGATAAATATACATGAGGGTTTGTTTTGAACCCCTGAAGGAAATACTAGTACTAAACAAACATTGATTTATTTGTTTTTAAAGAAGAACGTACATTTACAATATGCTGATCTGTGCTTATTGATTTCACATTATTTACAGCTGGAAAAAGGATTTTATTTATATTAAACTTACTTTAACTGAAGAAGTTGAAGTGGTGTCTGCCTCTCAAACTATTGGTCATTGTTCGAAGCCCCTTTTGGATCATGACAATGGCTTCAGTACTGACAATGGCTTCAGTACCAATTAGTTCCAGGAAGCAGACTTAAAGGGACTCCACTGAGTTTTTTTTTTGACATGATTGGACTGGAAATAATTTTTCAAGATTAATGTTCGCACTTCCATTTGGTGTAGTTCTAGAAAAGTAACTTTTGTGAAAAATGTCAGATCAATCGTTTTCTAGTTTTTTTTCCAGAATGATTATTCTTGTTGTGAAAAATGACTGAATGCTTTTTAATCAAATCAGACTGTGAATAGCACAACAGTACGACTCCAAATTCTTTATTAGACTTATTCTTAATTTTTTTTTTGCATACCTTTCCGTTTCAAGTGCACCTGTTGATCTTATGTAAGAAATTAAAATTTTATATGACCTCAGTGGAGTTCCTTTAATAACAGTTTAGATCAGCTCCTAGGTATGAATTAAATGAACATTGTAAAATGGCTTTAATTGGTTTAATATCTTATAGTTATATTTTTATTATAATTATTGTGTTTTCACTATTCTATGTAAACTTTGGTTTCTTGTTATTGAATATAATAGGACATACATGTATATTGTGCTGATTATTTAATGTCTGTTTAATTGACTTTAAGAGCAACTTCCATTTTCATTGTCATTTATGTATTTTATACAAAGTTTACTCATTTACTATGCGCATGTCAACTGACGGCAATTTTGATCATATTTGAGTATAGGTATGTTTTTATTATTTTGTCTTTATTTCATAAAAACAATACCATGTTATTGCACTATTACTCTTTTGAATTTGCATGGCCTTCAAATTACTCAATGCATCCAACAAGTTTTCTTTGTCCTTTGTGTTAAAAACACATCTTTCTTAACCATATTATTAAATTTTTCATAACTTGTTCTCAATAATAAGTCCCTGTTTTATTATGAATACTATTTATCTGAGGTCATGGTCACATTGTGAGGTTCAAAGTTAGATTTCTGAAAAAATGGTTAAAATTTCTAAATAAAGATATCTGTTTTTTGTGGATGGATATATTTACGACATTGAAAGGTTATGTATATTAGAGGTTTTTCTTTGGAGATAATAAAAATGTACAGTCTAAATTTACAATAAAAATGAAAGAGAAGAGGATAAGTGTTTTGTTTTTTATGATCATTATTTATTTTAAAATAATCATTATTGCACTAACATTTCAGGACTATATCTTTAAAAATGTATGATGAAAGTGTTTACAATTCAACATTCATACCATTAAATTTAACCCGGAGTGACTGCAACTGAAAGTGACTAGCCTTTGCCACCTGTATCGAGTCGGGCTAGCTTACACTTCACGTCTGACCCAGCCCTTTTCTGTTTGCCTTTCATGGTGATATACCAAACTTTGATAAATGGACACTTTCAGATACGGAAGCTGGCCAGTCCATTTAAGAAATTCAGCAGTTTAAGAAATTAAGAGTTAAGTAGAGCTGTATACAGGGCTGCGTTTTATAGAAAGTCCTAAGTCCATCAAAAGTCTTATGACAACCTATAGGACTAACTTACAAACTACAATGGCACGAGGTGTAAATATTCATCTGCATTGCTAAACAAAAATTATAGAGTCTTAATAATTATAAGAGTCATAAGTTAGGACATTTTCATTGAAACGAAAATTGTCACAGTTTTGGTCTTGGGACATATTTTGGGACTTTCCATGAAACGCAACCCTGGTCTGCATCATATATACATATTACAAACCATGGCACACACAAAAATATAAATTACAGGCAAATACCATGTACAAAGAATGTTACACATTAAAATTTGAATATTTCACATTTATGTTCCTTCATACACACCATGTTATCTAAATACATGTACCACATGCACAGTGAGAACAATTAAAATTCAGTACATAGGCATTGCTCAATAAATTTATAATGTACGTTTGACTTTGCATTGCTGAATACAAAGGTAAAAGTCAGTATTTATTTTGTCGGATTCAGTTCATCTTGAGAGAGTCCTTTTTCAAGATAGTCCTTTCGTTTTTGTTACACGACATACCATAATGCTTATTTGTTAACTGTTGCCTGATGAAAACCCAACTTTCGAAATGTCTTGACTTGTTGCCTATGTTTTATTTTATATCTTCACGCAGACGACAATTTACAAAAGTATAATGATAACAACAACAATGAGAAGGACCTCGCCCCAACCTACATCCCGTTTTGGTCTAAGTCGTCTGTGAACTGACAGAGCCTTTACTGTGTTTTGAACTTCTGCAAATAAAAGATAGTTCCTAATTAATTTTTTATTCAAACTCTTTAAAGGCACATTATGCCCCAGAAATCAAAATACATGTATTTTTTTTTAATTCTTTAGAAATGTCAAACATTGTTTTATAATGGATTAAGAGCATGTTAGATATTCAACAACTGAAAATTAGCTATGAACATGCAGTGATGTGTGGTAAAGGTATCAAAACTTAATCAAAGTAGTATTTTGACTTCCATACATTAAATTTCATTAAATATACCATTTGACAACAGACCAAAATAAGCAAAAAGAGATTTTATGTATATGGCAAATGAGTATTTTTTCCTAAACCCTGACAAGATACCAAAAATAAACAGGTTTTGAGAAATAAAATTTTTAGCGTTTGTATTTTGATGAGAAAAAGTCTTGGCATAAAGATGTAGCGATAATATAATACACATGAACCTTGCAGCTCTTTATACAGAAATCTGTATTTGGCTCATTTGTCTGGTCAAGAAAGTTCTTTTATTTCATAAAACATTACCCTTCAATACTTTGAAATACAGCAAACATTTCCTATATACAAGTCAAAGTTCGTGCATTGGCCAGACAAAAGAGCATAATGCCAATCGTCTTCCTGGTGAGCAATACCATTTCAGACATCAGTCATAAATTAATTAATGCTCTCTAAAATCATCGAACAAACGTTAATTTTGGGATTAAAGTATATGTTGAGGCTACTAATTTGTGAAAATGTTAACAAATGAACTTCACAAGAAAGCCTTAAAACTTCTTGTCAAATATGCAACAACAAGAATACTACTACCCAGCCTCCCTTCCCCCACTTCCTCATACTTAAACTTACCCGGCATTGGTTTCAGCTCGTATACTTCCAGTCCTTTACAAAGCTCAGCTGACAGGGGCGATAACTCTGACTGATAAACGATGTCATCTTTTTGGAGATGAAGCGATGTTTTCTTGTTGGGAAATTTAAACTGAAATAAATAAGTATGTTAATACCTTTTTGTTAAGAACAGCATATCCCTGTGTAAATGTGAAAGGGAAAATATACTTTACAGATCTAGAGTTGACTTCTTTTCAGTTTGTGAAATAAGAATACTGAGGCAGTACCGAAATAACATAAAGTTTCACGTCATTGATTGATGTTTTTTACAGTACATTTTTTTATTTAATATTTTAGTATGCACTGCCGATGTCTTTAGGATACAAAACTAGTTCTGTGCCATGAGGTCAAACGAGACGTGGCTCTGTCACTTTTTCGTGTTGTTGTTGTTGTTTTTTTTTTCAAACTTGTTTCAAAGAGTGGTAATCGCACCATGATTTCACAGTATTACCATCGATATTCTTTTAGAATAACAAATGTCTTTTTTCAAATGTTTCACTAAAAGATCGTGCAAAAACTATTCGGCGACCTTTTCATGCATTCACACAGAAGCTGACTATTTTGTATCTTATTGTATCATTCGCGTAAAGAAGTAAACTACGATAAGATATACACCTACCTCTTTATCTGGGTTTTTGAGAGCGTTCTTTATTTGTTGTAAGGTGACTAGTTCTTCATTAAATGCTAACACTCCACAATATTTGGCATCTGGTGAGTTTTTCATCGTCATCAACATCTGTTGAGGAACAAAATATTTATAATTAGAGGTATGTGCAATAACAATATATTTGTTTGGAAAATAGAATAAGTAATTATAAACAGTAGTTTGAAGTAACATATTGTTAGTCGCGATTGATGCCGTGCTGCTACTGTTGCTGCTGATATTGAAGATAGTTAAGGATGTGATGATGATTGTGGTGATGATGATAATGATGATGATGATGATGATGATGATGAAGATTATTGTATCAAGATTCAATTTCAGGAATTTTAGTTAAGAAAAAAAAAAGAAACATGATTAAATAAAACACCCAAAATTTCTCCTTATGCTTCAAAACATCAGATAATTATAACATTACTGCAATAGCAACAGATATATCAATAAAAGGAATGTTAGCGGTCAAGATTGCCAGCCATAAAGTCTATCATAATTTTAGGCTTTAAATGTATGCTAGCTTTGTAGTCTATATATCTATATACAACCACGACAACAATCATAAAATAACAACAAAAAAGTGGCTACATGGCCTAGTGATTTATGCGTCAGACTAAAAATCTTATAATCGCTAGCCGCATGGGTTCAAATCCCGTCAAGTGCGAGTCGTTTCCTTAAGCAAGAAACATTTTACACTCATTGCTCAGTACTGGTTGGTTCCAGGAACATATTCGAAAGTGTGTCTATCAGATTATAGCTTCCCACGCAGTCAAACTAAAATTCTGTTTAAACCAAAGTGACCACCTATACATTAATCTTGCATTTTGTCCTGAGCGCGAAATGTCATTCAATTTTCTATGGGGATAATTAAACTGTAAAAAGTCTATACTGATTTAATACCAACTGTATAGTGCACTCAATCGGCATTACATTGAAATAAGCACATTAAAATACCTTATCGAAATCTAACACCACACTCATGCCACCTTGAACCACGAACTGCACTTCCTTGTTGTGGATGGTGACCGCCTGGCCTTGTTTCTTCTGTACACCTCTCATCTGACCGTTCTTTAAGCTCGAAGTCACATAGTTAATGAAATATTCCTGTAATTATATTATGAAAAAATGCAATACGGAAAGACTCCTACAAATGGAATAGCACATGAAAAATTATTGAAATAGTTATATTGAAGTTTATTGTATCAGACTGGAGTTCTTGAAGATCGTAATAAATCTAATCTTATAGTTGTCTTCTATAAGAGAGTTCTGTTCTTCGAATAAAAATAACATTCATAACAAAATAATAATAATAATACTATGAAGAAGAAGAAGAAGTATTAAGAAGAAGAAGAACTTTTTGCAGTTCTGAGGGACATTAACCAATTCTGCACATACAAAATATGTTATTTTTCCAATCCTGGAAACAACAATTTTGTATTCAAAGCTACACATAAATAAGTTCTGCGCTGTAAAAAACGCAGATAATGATATACACTTGTATTAACCATATTTTGAAAGTACCAAAGATATGCACATCTAAGCAATAGAGAGAAACATGCATTCGTTTCAGCCGAAAATATGCAATAAGATAAGCAATATTATTAACACATACCCCGTCCGATCTCTTCTTCATTTCCCCTACATGATATCCAAATGTCATGGCAACCAAGCATAGTAAAGAGAGTACATGAAACTTATTCATCTTTTAAATAATTGTTCCTGAAAAATAGACAAATCGATCAATGAAATAATCATTATTTAGTTTATTATCATTTTGATGATTTATGATGGAAAGATTATCATTTAGTATTATTTATTATTATCATGATAATTATTATAATTATCATTTCATTTTATATTTATTATTAATCATCAACATCATCATCATCATCAATTATTATTATTATTATTTTATTATTTATTTATTATTATTTTTTATATTAACCATCATAATATAGAATGTAGATAATTAGAAAATAAGACAAAATCATTGCGCTTTGAAACAACTCAACATGCCTTTATGTCCAATCCGTATAAACGTACAAATACTTTCAACTGTATTTTTTTAATATGTTTAATACGGTTTTCTTCTGGCTTATATACATTTTGAGGTACGAATGTGTCTGAAAAAATAATGTCAATCAACCAATCACCAATCAGAAAAACTCGGTTTTAAACGTAATTAGTAATCTGTACCATGTGACCCGATTATATACATATTAACATAGTTTTATTATATACGCATCGTATACTGTAAATAAAATTTTCCGCCTCCGCGATAGTTAAAAAAATAAAAACAGAATTAAAATCGATTTTAAACGATAACAACAAGATCCTGTTGTGGTCAAAATATTATCCGTCTTAAACCTCGTTGACGTCAAATCACGGGCTTAAGAAGTTTTAGCTGAAGGTATTAACAGTTTAAAATAACATAAATAAAGTGTTTATCACAGTCATAGTAGTATCAAGGAGTGGGGTTTTTTTAATCTGAAAACGGTTAGATGTTAAGACCCAATCAGGAGCTTCAAAGATACATTTACTGCAGACTATAATACGATCATATATTTTCATCTTAAGGCCGTGTCTACACCTATTCAAGTTTCTTACATGTCACATTTAGATAAGCTAAATAAATGGCCCTTTCAACATTTTTTCAGGCACAATTTTCACTGAAATGTCTCATTAAGATAGCCCAGGATTTATACCTTTTTCTTTGCAAGACTATCATGTTTCTGTAAAATATGTGGGAAAAAAAGCGGGAAAATGATGCAATTAGCTACAACAGAATGGAGTTCATTGAAAAAATGTGACAAAAATTTATTTTGATGCAAATTCTTTATTTGATGAAAGTTGTTCACTAAGTGAACAAGATCATTTTAATCCATTTTGACTCTACTTAAAAAAAAGCGCTCTTTTTTATTTTTTTACAATGTATTTATTTATTTATTTTTTTTGCTCTTGTGTATCAGCGTATTGATTTGTTCCTTTGACCAAGACATTGTAATCATTTACTGAAATTCAAAGGGCATGTACACTGAATCAACAACAAAAAGTCAGAAAATAATAAAAATAACAGCACTATCAAACCTTCGGGCACATGTTTTGTGTCAAACCGGTGTTATCAGTGTCTTGACAGCCAAAAACTTGTAGAAAAATAGAACGTGTTCTAACTTTCTTGCAAGGAATTATCTTCTTGGATGTCACATAATTTCTCTTTAAAACTCATTCAAGTAGGGTGTCTACACTATCCAATACAAGAGAATATGATACTTGCATTCAAGACTTGGATAGGTGTAGACGGGCTCTAACACTTGTTGATGACTCAGATTTCTACGGTGTTCCTAGAGCGCAAAGACGTATACATAGATCAACAGGGGCAGCCTTTTTTTTTGGGGGGGGGGGGTGTATGGGGGTGTATGCTTAGCCTGATTTGAGTTGAAACGCTTATCATTTTTGGTGATTTTTCACAATCAATATAATTATTCCGGAAAATACGGAGTGAGCTGATGATCCTAGGCTTACATCAAATGAAAATGCATTTGGGAAAAATAATTTTAGTCCCATCATGTCAAAAAAGCTATGTGAACTCCCTTTAACATTATCATTGACCAATGGATTTGCCGTCTTTTGAATTTTGAACAGTTCGTTCAAATAATGAGGATCTTCAGTAAACAAAATATGAAAAATACAACAACGGCTGGACTGGCTCTATTCTGGTGGCAAGGGCCATTCATTAGAATTAAAAACAACAACATCAACAACAACAACAACAACAACAACAAAACAACAGAGAGCCCTATCAATATTCAATTTGACTATATATAAGCTGGCTTGACCGTCACTAGAGGTGGAAGAACCTGAAAATAGAAAAAAATGAAATAAAAAAGAAATACAAAAATTCTTGTATTCGAATCTAAAGAATAAAATTATGATCGCATTTTGCATTACGGATTTATTCTTTTTTTTCGTTCATATCTGGGGTTCGATTTAATATTTAATACAATGTGTTTTTCAATTATAGCCGGAAATGAAAGCACATACTAACATATTACTGGGGATATGTACAAATCAGCTATATGCAATTAAAATATTTGAAAATTCGAAAACAAATTGGCCTATCTGAATATACATGTATATAACACATTTTGTCTCACTTACAATGTCGTACATGGTCATCCGGGAATGATGGGGGAGAAGGGGGGGGGGGGGGGATTAGCGAAGGCATTGTTTTTCTTATTTGCTTAATGTAAATGTGCGCAAAAAGCTATACATAATACAAAATATTCATAAATCAAACAATAATAATATGTCCTTTTCAAAATCACCAAAGCAATTTCATAAAAGGCAATTTACTGTACATAATATGATTATTCTCAATATTATTTTTAATCAGAAGCAAATCGAAACACCTGGCTAATTACCCTGATTACCAATTACCCGTATAATAATTATAGTTGCAATTGATCACTGACCACAGACCTTTTTATGAAAGAATTTGACCATAAGTTAATAGTTCATAAGAATTTATTCTAGATCGATTGTGTTAAACCATTACACTCGTTGAAACACTGTTTAATCCGTTCCTGGAACCAACTAGTACCAATTAAGCAATGAGTTAAATAATTTTTGATTACGTTTGAACCGGCGCGACCAGCAATCGTTAGATACTAGTCCGACGCGTTAATTAGTCTGCCATATAGGTGTTCGGCTCATTGCATCCCCATTCCCATCATCTATCTCAGTATAAATATAAATACGAAAAATACGAAGTAAAATTAGGGCGTGGCTTTGCGACTAGAATATTAAAATAAAATAAAAAAGAAGATGAATACTAGTAACTAGCTTAGTCAATAAGACGCTAATAAGAAGAAAACGTCTTTAACAACTACAAACGTTCCTATATTGCTTTTTTGAGTTGTTTAAATCGTATAAATTTTTCTTAGAAGTGTCTGTTATGTAGAAAAATTACCAAGAAATGTGCAAATAAAACAATAAGATTGTAAGATTTAACAACAAATCGACCAGTTATAAGCATATAACGTAAACACCACCCATCCCCCCCCCCCTAAAAAAAAAACACTTCTATTTTGTAACGTTTCAAAAATGGTCTACGAGCATGCTAAGTACGAGTACTTATCACTTGAGGAAAGTAGCTATCAATAGTGAGCCCATAACACACACTTAAGTGTTGTATACTATTTACTATTTAGGTATAGAACAATGCAAAATGTAATGTGCGAAAACGATAAATAGAAAATGATTTATTTTTCGCGGTATATGAACATATTAAATGTTATATTTTACATCGAATGATATTTAGAATATTTTCTTTTTCTTATATCAAAGTCTCAAAGTCTAACACGCCCGTCATTTGCCATAAGTTCATCTAGGAAAAGGCAATTATGATATTGTTGCGAAAACTTCTCTTTTTTGAAAAGCTTTGTTTATTCACTTTTTTCGCTTAAAAGTAAACCATTTCTCTATGCAGGTATATAATGAACAAGTCAATTCCAAGTGAAAGCAGGATTATATTTATTGCAGTAAATCAAAATAATGCATCATTCTATTTTCTATCAACAGTCAAAACCAAAGTAAAATTCTTAACATCTTCAACAAATACATTTCTTCAATTATTAACTCAAAAACAAATCAACTCCAAACCCCAACTCACTTCCTCAACCCCCCCCCCCCCCCCACAGCTAGAAAAGTTCCCAGCTTATATACCCTTCTGTTTGCGCAGCTAGGTTGGTGTGCAAAAGTAAATTGTCGCGCGACCCACTTGCGCTAACCAGTTTGGCACACAACTCATTGCGCGACCTGAATGTTGCGCAACCTATTAAAAGTGCTGACAATGCCTTAAGTATAGGTTAGTGTTTAATAATATGTATTAACAAAAATAATTGGTCAAGCCTGCCGCAGGCAGGCGACCAATTATTTTTTGTTAATGCGTATTATTAAACATTAACCTATTTAATGATCAACATTATTTTTTCAACCAAAAACAAGGCATTGCTCTAAATCACTGACAGCTCCGCCCTTTCGCTCTACAATATGTCTACACCTTGTCAAGTTTCTAACATGTCACATTTAGATAAGCTAATTAAATGGCCCTTTCAACATATAATCAGGCACATTTTTTACTGAAATGTCATAGAATTTATACCGACTATCAATTGCAGCCAGGAAAATGATGCAATTAGATGTTAATAAAATGTGTACATCCTTTTAAAATAAATGAAAAATACATAAGAGATTATGAATTGATACAAATTCGTTATTGGCTTCAAGTTATTCACTAACATTTAAAATCCCTATTGATTTGCTCATTTGAAAAAAAACAATTCACTTTTTCATTTTTCTGAGTGTCAATTTAGGTTTACAGGTCCATTTACAATGAGTTTTCCAGCCAAAAATGTAAACATTGTATTCTTAGTGTCAAGGATTGTTTATGCAGTTCATTCCTATCAACTGAATTTGGAAAATATTTAGAGTTTAAAACAGTCAGCAATTTATAACAGACATTTTTCTTAGAGTTAAAAGGATATAAAAAAGTTATTATTTAATCATTGTCTCTGCGTGCCCCACATGTATTATCTGTGTAATAAATTTGATTGTATCCTCACATTCAGAAACACCTGACCTTTAAAAAAGTAATGTTAGCAATGCTTTGAAAACCTAGATATTTTACAAATCAGAGTGTAAACCCTTCCTCTAACTCCTCCCTAATATAATGCATTATTGAAATTTGTTAGACTGTGGTTAGACGACAGATTAAGTGAATTTTATTTACTTAGTACACATTAACCAAAGTTAGACTAAGCAGAAATTTGAAAAATACTGCAATGTGATTGGACAAAAAATAATGTTGATCATTAACAATGTTCAAAATGGCCTGCAACTGGTTCAGGTATACAGACTGTTGTACAATACAAACATAAGTACTAAAATACATAATAGTTATATAAATTTAGATGTTAACACTCAATAGCATAATTATTATCTGTCCAATAATGCAACTTAATACATGTAATAGTGCAAAATACACTTGTATTAATAAAGATATATGTACTATATATGGCTTATAAGACCAATACATTTACTACTGATTGACATTTCTATAAACTTATAATACTGACTGATAATTCATTAAACAACAGAAATATAATCTCTCCAGCTTTACAACATACAGTTCAACATTTGAACCGAGTAACCTGTACATAGATAAAGCAGTAAGGAATCACATTCATAAAATCTGATATGACCAAATTATGCTTTGTTAACAACAATTGAGATGCTGAAGGGCTAAAAATAACTTAAACCTTGTACTTTTAGTCTGCGCGGCCTCTTATTGCGCGACCTCTCCATATTTGGAACTAGCATGCCTTTAATCTAAAATTAACTGAGCTGTGCCAATATTCTGGACTGTTAATGACTCAATTGTTTTACAACAAAAATGAGTGAAAGTTAACATAAAAATTTTAACCAGCTTAGAAATGTTGTCCAGATATACCATCCTAAAAGAATACTCTTCTAGTAAAAGATTAGTTTCAAATTTCATAACAATATCATAATTCGCTTTTGTTGTCTTTTATCTAAATACACATTTTCTTTATATTCATTTATTTTCAAAACATGTTCTTACTTTCTACACTCGTCTAGAATTAAAAATTATGTACGCACGGAATTTTATTCGCCAAATTACAGAACTTTGTCGCATGAACAAATCTTGTCATATTTAAGCGTTGATACGAATTATATCTGACGGTTTCTATAGCTACTCTTCTGTTTTGATCTTTGTGAAGCAAAGGTTTTCGATTCAGCGGAAGCCAATATTAATGCTTAGTAAAATATGTATAAGTAAAGAATAGATCTGGATTATAGAAATATATTTTAGAGTTGGTGAAAAAAACAATTTAGGAAAATAAGAAAAAAAGAAACAAGTTTTATATATAAAGGAGGATATCAGGATAATAAACATTTAAATAATAAGAGAAAATGGATTCCTTTAAGAACGACAATATATTGATAATGACACAATTGAAAATGTTGCAGACTTAGTTTGATTTAGTCCGTTCGTGGGCAGAAGTGGTAAGTGATACTAGTAAGCATGCAACGCTCACGCCCTCAGATGTAAGCAATATTCAACATTTAATTGATATAAACAATAATGCGAAAGTATGACTTTGGAAACGTCTGCAGAATTGATCAAACGGCGTTGACAATGGAAGCCTCGATGTTATACAAAAATTAATGGAAACTGGCTATTTAAGTTATTATGACTATCGGGCGTAAATTGTCAAACAACAGGATGGACAAATAAGCATAAAAAAGTTTGACTGTTAAATGTATCAAAATGAAGTTGAATATTTCTCAAAATGAGACACTGAAAACGGATTATGAAGCTGGATCTCAGCTCACGTATTACTTGATGAGAACTGAAGGTGTACTTATTTTGTTCTTAAATTCTTTCGTTCTATTTTCTATAACGTGCCAAAGAAGGCAATTTTCATCACTTTATTGGCTTCAGATTACATGCCTTGCCATTAATGATTTCATTGCTGGAATAGCAGTATTTCTTATATCATTTATAGACACAGCATTAATAAAGGAGAGTGTAGCGACATGTTCTTTAGCCATTGTTTTTCTCTTTGTGTCGCAATGTGCTTCGTTATATAACATTTTTGGGATCAGTTTATCCCGATTCATCGTCCTCAGGCGCACAGACACAGGCCCTAGACATTGGATGAAGTGCTACACAATTCTTGCTACTGTATTTTCTTGGACCTTGAGCATATTCTTATGCGCTCTGCCAATCGTCTTGTACAGTAAACCAGCACAATACAGCGAAACGAAATATTGTTCATATCCGAACATTTTTGGAGAAGACTTAAAGCAAGTAATGCTTATAACAACGGGATCATTTATAATGCCCCTCATATTTACAAACGTAATGTATATTACATTATTCTGTATACTCAATTCAAAATGGAAAAAGATTGCACCTGTTGAAGGACCTGTTACTGTCAATCAACAAGTGCCAGAATCATCAACAGGTAAGCGCAATGGATCGATTTTGAATAGCAAGACGCACAAGTGTGCCAATCCCACTGAACAGACATCCAATTCTAGGACATTGCCAATAGCAAATATACGTAACACCGTGTCCAACATAGGAATAGAGATAACAAAAATCCAAAATTATACAAATAATCTGTCTGCAGAATCAACGTCACATAAAGCACAGTGTACGGAAATAAACTTACAAGCTCGCCAGTCTGCTCCGCGTGATGCACTACAAAGATCTAAACAGCGAGTGATAGCAATGAGGGCTCAACGTCAAATTCGTGTCTTTAGACTTGTCGGGATAATTTTATTGTTTCTGAATATATGTTCATGGCCCAGTATAATAGTATTTTTATTGAGAAGTCATAACCAGATAACTGCTAAAAGGAACAGTCTCATGATGGTCTTTACAACAATGTGTTTCAATTCTGCACTCAATCCTGTTTTATACGCTGCAACTCTTACTGAGTTCCGCAAATACATTTATGATGGATTTATCAAAATTAAAAACTATTTCAAATGTTAGCTTAACTTGGCTGATCTGAGTCATTGTTTGTATGTTGCCCGCGCATGGTCAGTAGCGGAATTTCGTGCGTGCACGACAATTTCAATCACTAAACATATTGAGACAAATAAACTTTTGCCATCGTATCAAAGTGCATATCGTAAAAACCATGGAGTAGAAACTGCTTTGATAAAAATGTATGATAATTTGCTGAAAGCAGTTGATGATGGACAAATTACAATAGTTGTTATGATTAACCTCAGTGCTGCGTTCGACACCATTGACATCCCCATTGCGCTTCATATACCCTGTAAACATGCAGTGGTTGGGCCAACCACGGAAAAACGTCATAGGAAAATCGTTGTTGGGCCATGGTTGGCCCAACTCTAATTAACATGTACTATAAATGCAGTTGTTGGCCCAACGTCGAACCAACCATAAGTTAATGCCAGCGACATTTCTGCATTGGCCCAATAACGATAAATATGTACTTTAAAACAGATGTTGGGCCAACGTTTGACCAACGATACATTTTCGTCAAATATATTACTGCACCTGACCCAAAATTTATTTTTTTAAAGACAGATATGCATGTAGATATTTTACTGTATATAAACAGTACACTACAATGAGTAAAGACTAAAGTTTATAAAGTTTTTTTGAAGCCATGTTCAATATTGTCACATTCAAGAAATACTCATATAAATTAAATGAGAAATGTAAGAAATAATTAGTCGCCGGTAGAAACCGGCGACTATATTTGTAACAGTTTAATATTATACCTATGGTAGGAGAAGGTATTAATTTCTGTAAATAAAAGCATAACAATTACTTAACAATTAAAGACTACAATTGTTTTCAGTAATCTCAAAAATTCAAACATACAATAATGTTGCTCAATGAAATGAAATATTCAAATATTGATATCGTAATAAGCAACATTACAATTTTTATAAAATGAAATAATGACGTATCCCTATGGATCAGTCATTGGATTTAGGGATGTTTTTCCTTTTTTTCAAAGTGTCAAGCGTTGTTACTTTTTGAGTCTAGAAATGACCAGGCTATGCAGTAGTAGGGGGTATGTATCAATAGATCTATAGAAATCTTGAAGATCTGATGTATAATCTAAAGCAATTATACATGTGCTGGAATAACCATAATAAACCTCCGGAATCTTCCACTCTGAACTCTAATTAACCTCTGGTTATGTTATCAATAAATGGAAATAGGATCATTTTGGCACTACCCATCCTTTCCCTCGCTTGATTTCGAAGCTGCGTGGACGTGTTTACAGATAGATCTAAATAAATTTGTATTAGACTGCAATTTCTCAACACTGAAAAATGTAAGTAGATCTAGAGTTTTTTACTTTAATCTTTTAAATAAACCCTCTAATATAGTAATGTATTTAAACCTGCATTTAAAACCTGTTATACTATCCACGTGACCAGGTCATGTGATTAATACAAAATGGCGGATTGGTAAAGGAAAATACTTTGATGTTTTCAGGTAAACAAGCCAGAATGAATTTGATTTTTGTAATGAAATTAAAACCATTTAATTATATCAGTGTTTATCAGCTTAAAATATGATATGTTTATAGTTTTACAACTGAATTTATTGTGATAACTGCAAAAAAAAATGCAAGTTAGTAAAAACTGACAAGCTACAATTAGCACTGCAGTGTTAAGCTCATACAATCTGTTCTGAGTATAAATAGGTAATTATGATTGATTATGAGTTATTTGCAAAATTCTGCTTTGTTACTAGACTTTTTAGCAGTTACACCACTCATTGCAGTAGAGTGTATACGAAACTGTGTGTAAATTTAATTTTAAGTGTAACTTCGCATTAAACACAAATTTCTTTAACCAACTGCAAAAATTGTTTTTATTGCATTTCAGACAGCAAATTTATGTCTAATTGGTAGAGCATTGTTCGCCGTGTTATGTCTCACACTTTGTCTCAGGAAGTTGTCCTAGAATACAACTGGGTTGGAAAAGGCTCGAAAAAACCATTCGAAAAACTTAGACTTAAAAAAGTCATATTAGGTTTGTATTTTTACTTTTTCAAAGGTGATTTCACCGGTGCTAGAAAATTATTTTACACCGTGGGTGTAAGATGTGACTCTTGTGTTGTAAATGATCATCATAACTCTATTTGTATTTTGACAGAATTATGCCCCTTTTTAACTTAAAAATTTTAGGTTAAAATTTTTAATTATGTCAAATATCTCTACTTACTATTATATCTATTGACTTGTGATTCAAAATATTTCTTTACTATCAAAGTCTTATCCCCTTAGCTCTATTTGCATTTTGACAGATTTATGTGTACTAGTAAATTATAATTAGTAGTGTATATTTAAATAAAATCAGTAAACTGTATAAATTTCAGATGCTGTAAGAGGAAGAAGACCGGGGTCTACTAATAATGAAATCGAGAAGACAATGAAGGAGTGGCTAAGATATGCCAAGGATAGGGAAGGCGGGCAGAGGAAGAGATTGACTAAAAAGTTGCAACAACAAAGAGAAGAAAATGAAAATGATATGTGAACAACATTTAGTAATAAATTGTAGTAATTAGTATATATTTTGTTCTTTTATGAAAACAAGGCATTGGGCCAACGAAGGGCCAATGTTTATTGTAGGAAACCAGTCAGTGGGCCAACGGGGGTCCAACAAGAAGAAGGGAAACCAGTTGTTGGGCCAACAGAGGGCTAACCATAGGAAGGAAAACCAGTCATTGGGCCAATGGAGGGCCAACGATAAGAGTAGGAAAGCAGTTGTTGGGCCAACCATATACCAACCGTTGGCCCAACGTTGCCCCAATTAGCAAATTGACATTGGGCCTACGTTGGCATTATGTGTTGGGCCAACAAAGCAAATGTAATTGGCCCAACGTTGGGCCAACTACTGTCTGCTATCTGGGTACTTCATGATGACTTTGGCATAGATGACGTTCCTTTACAGTGGATCAAATCATACTTGACTGATAGAACCATGAAAGTTATCATAAACAATGAATCATCAAGACAAGAAAACCTGATGTTTGGTGTGCCTCAAAGCTCCTTTGGTGGCCCAGTAATCTTTACCTTGTATATCGCAGCATTAAATAGAGTTGTGAAGAAATACCCGGCTCAGTTACATGGTTATGCTGATGATCATAAGGTCGCTCTACAAATTCAGGCTGGAAACAAAGAAAATGAAACTTATGTTCTTGAACAATTATCTGCTTGTTTGGATGATATTTCTTCTTGGATGGCAAAGTATAAATTGAAAATGAACAATGCAAAAACAGAGATCATTTTATATGGTACCACACAACAGTTAGCAAAGGTTGATATACCCGGTGGGAATGTAGGTAATTGTTTTGTCAAATGTGTTGACCATGTAAGGGACTTGGGTGTTTGCTTTGATGCCAAACTTAGTTTTGACAGGCATATACGAAAAAAGTGTCAAATAGCCTACTCTAAACTTAAGAACCTGAAATCCATTCGTAAGCATCTGTCTCAAAAAATCAATGGAAATACTAGTTCATGGTTAAGTCAATTCCCACATCGATTTTTGTAATGGACTTTTTGCAGAAATACCAGTTTATCAAATAGATCGACTTCAGAGACTCCAAAACCAGGCTGCTCGGGTAGTAATGAATGTGTATGACCAACCTATTGCTGATCTCAGAAAATCTTTACATTGGTTACCAGTCAAGGCACGGATTATGTTTAAAGTAATTCTTATTGTTTTCCGAGTAATACATGGAACAGCTCCAACGTATTTCATAACTTTGTTTAATTGTGTTAGCAGAATATACAGTCTAAGATCAGCTGCTGATGACACGTGTACACAGTTTGTTGTGCCAAGACGCAGGACCAGACTTGCTGACAGATCTATTTCTGTTATGGGACCTAAATGGTGGAACGCCCTACCAAAAGAATTAAAGTGCATTGCATCGGAAATTGCATTCAGAAAAAGACTGAAAGCACACCTCTTTGAACAATTTTATAGATAAAAAGTTTCGTCAAATGTGTATATAGTTTTAAACTGTGGAAATGACTTTGACATTATCGGATCTTGTGAAGCGCAACAGAATATAACTGTATAAAGTGTCGCGCTATAAAAATTCCTTTGATTGATTGATTGATTGATTGATTTTAACTTTGATCACTCGTATGCTGTTGCATTTTCATTACAATTTTAACCTTTATGTTTGGTTTGGAGTCGCCGTTGCTTTTCAAATGTAAAATGCTCACATGGATCTACGATTTTGTTGATGACCATAAATAAATGAATCAAAATGACATTGTAATTGATTTTATACCATTTGGTAAATACACCATTAGGAAAGTTCAACAACATAAACCTCCTTACTTATCTAAGTGCTAAGGGTTTTGTAGATTGCTCTCGGGTTGTTGTGTGACCAATTTAAACGTAGTGTGCCTTCCCTTGATATGAACATATTCTCGAATTAGTATTAACTGGTCATGTTAACATCATGTAGCCATGTTTTATAGCATAAATGGGACGATCTTTCCTTTCTTTTTTTCGTTCTTGAATTTAAGTTATCTAAAGAAATTCTTTCTTTATTAGTTCCCGCCGATTAAATGGCGTATGTTGCCACATTACAAAACTAATATTGATCAAATTAGTCGTGTTATTGTCACGATCCTACACCAAACATTGCATACATGAATAGTGAGCAACAAAATATAGAAGATGGCTGTGTTATATGCAGAAACTATATTATTTGTTTTATACTGTATCACATGCAGCCATGCCGACAAAAGGGCAGACTTTCGCGAAACACGATAGTGAAAAGGTTTTTGCTTTCTCTGTTTATATTGTATCATAGTTTGGGGACCCTTCTGTTGAAAATCTGTCAGAGTTAAATCGTATACATATACATGTACAGTGCGTAAAACCTGCACTCCAGAGCATGCTCATTGATTGGTTTGTATCATAGTTTGGAGACCTTTCTGTTGAAAATGTGTCAGGGTTAAATCGTATACATATACATGT